GGATGATTATTACGATTTTTTTAAGAAGGGGGGGATGCCATCCCCCCCTCAACTTGAGTACTTTATATATACACACACTGTATATATATGACCAGCACAGCTATGTTATTTTGCATTTTTATTAAATTCAAGAAGAAAAGCAATCAACCACACCGCCCTCAATCTGAGCTCATTTTGTGTAACAGAAAAGCCTCATGATTTGATGCTGATGGAGTAAAAGGTTTAATATTAAGTATATTACTTAACTTCACGATTCTCAACAATTCTCATTTTGATGGAGGGGATAACGGCGCAAGAGTTTTCATGAAATATTGACTTTTTTTCTCGTGATATGACGAGTTTAATCACGTTATTTTAAGCTGTTTTCTTAACGGCAGGAGATTGATGGAAAAGTTTGCACAGCAACTGATTGTATCTATAGTAAAGAGCTCCTGAGGTTGGGAGGAATTTAGTCCATCCTAATCTTTGGACAAAACGCGAGGACTAAAAGATTTCTTTGAATCTGAATCTTCATTTGGTTGATAATTATTTAGGATCAGTTGTATGTCTAATTTAAGTATATAGAGATGAGTGTTGACATTTTACTGGCGGCTCTCTACTGCCCCCTCTTGGTTATTTTAAGGTACTTTTTGTCACAGAAATCCTCTGAAAATCTTTGTAGTTTAATATAAATACCCTGTAGATGAGCAGCTTGAAATACAGGAGGCCTGAAAAGAAAAACATTACGAGACAAAAACGACGTCATCCCTTTGCAGTTGATTTATTTCAAGCACTTTTAATAGGAGAGAATAAAGGAAGATGTCACAGCAGACAGAAGCAGCAGCAGCTGTGTGACACCTATTAGTTGATTGGGGAACACTTTCATTTGAATTCTCACACACTGAATGAAATTCTCTGTGAACAGATACAAAAGGAGACACGTAAGCCTAAAATGGTTGAGAAAAAAAACAAAAACGGTCTCAAACAGCTGAACATGAATTGGATTTCACCTAAACTACCATCACAACATATTTCCACCCTGAAACACAGTGAAGAAATAAAAAGCTGAATTTAATCGTGAACCATTAGGTCCAGTTTCTCCCATTAATCATTTCATTTATTCCTCCTTTACTCAGTATTCATATCGGTGAAGGTTGGACTAAATTATTGCAAACTTGCTGCATAAAAAAAAAAAAAAAAAGTGTTATAATTCTAGGAAAAAAAACAAAAATTATTTATTTAAAATAAAATTTCTGATTAAAAACTCAAGGCCCAACCTTTAAAAAAAAGAAAAGAAAAAAAAGAGAAATTAAAGTCAAACAGATTGCTCTCATTTGACTCCTTTTACTTTCAAAAAAGGCCACGAGACACCACAGTGACACAGCTGCTCTAAGGTCCACCATAACGTACGGCTCGGGTTATCGTTAGCATTAAAACAAGACGGTTCCTTATCAAAATGTACAAGTTTCCCCGTTCCTTCATCCACCTGTTGAATTCTAGCATTTTAAAACACAGAAACCTGCTAAAATGTAAACAGTTCTTCATAAAACACATGAAAATGAAACAAAACCAAGAAAAGACGGCAGAGCTGTGATGTATGGAGAGAAATTTGTTCCAATATTTTTGAACGCAAAGAGAAAATTTCATGAAAAGTAATTTGAACAAACTAGGTTTCAAAAATAGGACTGAAGAATGTCTTAGTCAAAAAAAGTACTTGAGAATGATTTTTAACGTATATGTAAACATTCTACTAAGTTTGCTTTCTCAGATTTGATTTTTCAAATAAATTTTCATTTTTTATTAATTTTCAATTGTTTAAAAAGGGTTAGGGTCAATATTTTTTTATTAAATATTCAAAATAATTTTTTGTAATTAATAAAAAAAAAATCTAATTTCTTTTAAGATTTTCTTTCACAAAAAATTATTGTAAAAAAAAATAATAATAAATGTATGGAGGCAGTTGTGTAGACTAATATTTATCGGGCCACTTCGAGATTTATCTGTAAAATTGGACTTGAAAATTTTGTCAAAATGAGTCTCTTAGAACAATAAAAAAAAAAGAAAAAAAATTTGAAAAAAGGATGCAAATGTGGAAAAAGAAAATGGTATAAAACAAATTTCAAAATTAAATTAAAAAAGCAAACTTTTAAATGTTAAACAAAAGTTTTAACATTAAAAATCACTCTGTAAACCTTAACATTTCCATTTTTGAAAAATATTTTCTTCAAATTTTTAATTTTTTGTTGTGTTCAGAAATATTGGAGCAACTTTCCCTCCATACCTTTGCTTGTTGCGTTGATGCATGAGAAGCAGACTGGAAGCATTAACAGTTCCCACGCCATCCTGTCTTTCCTGCAGGAGTTTCAGCTCTGACGGCAGGAGGAGGAGGAGGAGGAGGAGGAGTTCCTCTTTTGGGCTTAAAACCCAGCGAGTGATGCGGAGCACCGATTCATACACGGTGTCCAGGACTAACGGCCACAGTCGAACACAGAATATATTTGTTGGGAAGTACTATGTCAAACTACTCTGTCCCATTTTTTCCGTCTGAAGCATCACAGGTCTTAAAAAAAAAAAAAGAAAAAAGCCTAAAAGGCCATAAATATCAGTTCCTGCAAATGAACTAAAATATTTACAGACTACTTCTGGCGCCACAGTGATCTGAGGAGAGGAGGTAAAGAGCTGAGGATGATGACGACTTCAGGATGATGTTTCTCCTTCTGGATTCATGCGTCGTTTGTTGGATCTAAAGCCCTTCTTTTCCTTTACACTTCGCTTTGGGCTGAGCGGCGCTCTGAGCGGCGCTCTGAGCTCCGCCTTCTTCTGGCCTCCTGCTGGGTTCGGGCTGGGAGGGGTTGATCCAGGACACCCTGGACGCCTCCGGCTTCGCCGTCTCCTCCAGGTCGAAGTTCAGCTGCTGCACGGCACCCTGCTTCTTGAACGACTCCCTGCGCTCCGACAGAGCCAGCTTCCTCACCGCCTCCTTCGGGTGGCCGCCGCGGTGCTGAGGAGAGCCCGACGCCCGCTGGTGGTTGCCGCCGCCGCCTACGGGGTCGTGGGTTTCTTTCTGCCCCCCGAGGCTCAGCCCCTGGCGACCGTGCTCCCCCACACAGACGAACCTGGTGCCGGCGTCTCCCTCCTCGTCCTCCAGTCCCTCCCCCTCAGACAGCGGCATCTCCATGGTGTGCCGGCGGGTGTTGTACGCCTTCCTGTCGCCGTGGTAACTCCCCTTACCCGTTTTGTCTCCAGTCAGCTTCTCCGCTGACTGTACCCTCTTGAGCAAGGGCGAGCGCGGCGGCTCTACGCTGCGGGGGCGCACCGAGTGACGGGCGACGGTGGGAGGGGACGACGTCTTCCCGTGGAAGCCCTGCAGGGATTTAGGGTGATTCTGGAGACAGGAAGGGGAGCACTGAGGGGACGGGGGCTGCGGCGGAGGGATACAGGCCAGAGGGGACGGAGGGATGCTGCTGGTGGACTTGCAGCGCCCTGCCTTGGCGTAACGGCCGTGGACGTGGAGGGAGCTGGGACGAGCCTGCGGTACCGGAGAGTTGGGAGAACTGGAGCAAGGAGACGAACTAGAATCTGATGGATGAGGAGAAACAGGAAAGGAGGTGAGATTTAGTGGAAACGTTTCCTTCTCGCCGATGAAGAAAGACTCCCACCTCCAGAGTGGTCCGGCGCGGGGGAGCGACACGGCGTGGACGGCCCGGGGGACAGGCTGTGTGTGGGGGAACCGGAGAGGCTGTCGCTGGACGACTGCGGGAAGCCAGAGGAGAAGCTACGGCTGTTCTGCATCGGGGGGGGAGCCGTATGCTTGGACAGCTTCTTAATGATGCGACGTCTGGTGCTGAAAAAACAAAACAATGTCGTGATTAAATCATTCCCAACGCTTCCCGAATCCATCTGTTAGTTCCCTCTTCCAGGTATTGATTTAGCAGAGATGAGCTTCATCATCGCTGTGCGACCCGACGCTCTGATGCGATCTACCTGCTCACACTGTACGTCTAAAAACCACATCAGATTCAGCTCCGCAGTGAGATGGCGCTACTCAGACTCATCTATCCGCAAGTTTTAAGACGACACTTAGGAACAATTTGCATGTTTTCTAAGCCAAAACAAGGCTTTGTTTTTGGTCTACTCTATAAAACCTGGAACTCAACACTATTTCTGACATTTTAAATTAAAAAGCTTCCTTGATTGGAAGAGAAATGTCTTCAAACTTGGAAACAAATTCCAGTGTATTGTTTTTTTTGGAATGACTGAGGATCTTCACCAGCACTTTGACAAACTTCTTAAATCAGGAAAAGGTTTTGAAAAGAACTTTGCTGCTTTCCTAGATTTTATTTATTATTTATTTTTATTCATTTTATTTTTTCTCCCTGTCAAGTTGATTTCTTTGAATTGCCAGGGTCCTACAGCATAAGGAAAGTTAAATTCAAGACTTTTAGAGACTTTTTAATGCCACTTGAAATAAAAATTTAAGACCAAATTCACAAGAAACACAAGAAAAACCTGCTTGCATCAACTTAACCCAAAGGTTTATTTTAACATAAACCACTGCACTAATGTTTCAAATTTTGAAAAGCTTCCCATACAGGAAGAAAGCTAAAAACACACAAATGACAGATATATTTTAACATTTATTTAACTGAATTCACAAACTTTGTTTTAGCAGGGAACAAAACAAATCAGTTTTAAAGCCACAACATAACCAGTGCTAAGTCTTTTTTGCAGCTATTTTTCTTTGTATGGTTTTCTTAGTATGTTTGATTTGGTGATAAGTGGAGGCGTTGCAGAGACAAGGGTGGAACTAAACTGAGAAATACCGGCTGTTTCTCCGTAACTCCATTTTGACGCTTTGTGTTTCGTGCTCCGCATGTGCGACTCCACTGCCTTAATTCCCATCGTTCTGAGCTTGAATGACTTCTTGCACTAAATCCACTGAGCCTCATGTATGTTCCCTGGTTTTAGCCATGGAGGAAACTCTTGGCTGGAGCCAATTTTGGTTACATTTACACTTGCTCATATTTTCCAGACAAAATGTTAATGGCGCATCTCCCAAATGTCCCGGCCGCTTTTATTGGTTCTGCTATCGGGACGGAACCAATAATGGTGAGCCGTTATTTAAAAAATAAAAAAAATTTTCAAGTTTCATTTAGATTACAAAAATAAATCGTAATAAAAATAATCCTATTTATGATTTTTTTATTTTTTTTATTATGACCAACGAAAGACTGATTTAAGACATTTTAATACCAATTAAGGCCTCAGTTTTGTTTTGAAGAATTCAATGCCTTTTAAGACTTTTTAAGGACCCTGCAAAAAATAGCTGCAGAAAAGACTTAGCACTGGTTATGTTGGGGTTTTAAAGCTGATTTGTTTTGTTCCCTGCTAAAACAAAGTTTGTCAATTTCAGCTAAATAATTGTTAAAATATATCTGTCATTTGTGTGTTTTTAGCTTTCTTCCTGTATGGGAAGCTTTTCAACATTTGAAACATTAGTGCAGCGGTTTATGTTAAAATAAACCTTTGGGTTAAGTTGTTGCAAGCAGGTTTTTCTTGTGTTTCTTGTGAATTTGGTCTTAAATTTTTATTTCAAGTGGCAAAAAAAAGTCTTAAAAAGTCTTGAATTTAACTTTCCTTATGCTTTTGCGGGCAAAATTCTATCAATTATTGCAATATTTCTTTAGACAATATGTGTATCTTTTCATAAAAACAGTATCAATATTTTATTAGATATGTCAGGAAATTCTGAGCACTCTCAAAATATCTCGACATACTCGCCGTATGTCAACGTGTGCCGCCGTGTTTCAGCGTACTCATAACTTTCAGAAAACACGGCCATAATTTTGCCAGCGTTTTTGCCAGATTTTTGGTCAGGCACACGCTGGTCTAAATCGTAAAGGTGTGACAGGGGCTTTAGGGAGAGTTTAGGATAAAAATAATGGTCCTTATAACAAGCTAGACTGTTTCTCTGGGATTATTTCTAACGTTGTTTCCAACTGCCTTGAATTGTTTGGGTAACAGTATGTGGAGACGTTCATAGCCTTCCTGCAGGGTTTAAACTAGTGAGATAAACTCTGTTCAGCAGGGCTGGATTTTACGCCAAGATGTTATTTTTCTTTGCAGTGAAAATAAAGTGGCGACTGAGTGAAATCCATGGATCTCCATTTATTTAACTGGACTTTACAGCTGAATACTTTTTTTTCCCGCAGCACCAGCCGCCATGCAGAGCCAACCCACCTCTCCTGACCGTCCTTCTTCTTGCTCTTCTTGCTGCGTCTGACCATCTTGGCCCTGTAGCTGGCCCTCCTGGCGGGGCCCACCTTGATGGACGTGTTCTCCAGCGCCGTTGTTTGCAGGGTCACCTTGTTGCCGCTCTGTGGGAAACATTTCAGCCAGTAGTTGGTGTGAAACAGACAAGCCTTTGTTTCATATTTTACTTACGTTTGTTTTTGAATCCATTTATCCTGATTTGAAGAAAATTTCTAACATTGTTCCGTTGACTAAAAACTCTGATAAACTCAGAACACCTAGAAGTATCTAAATGATTTATAGTTAAAGGAATGCTGAATCTGTTTAAACACAAGACTCTTAATCATTTAATATAAATTAAATAAACGGATCAGAATATTCAGCTTTTAGTCTTAGCTAACGGTAAATATGTAATAAAAAAACTGGTTAATATTTAACGGTTTCTGCTCAGTTTGTGCTCAAAGAATCGAATATTGATCAGAAAAGGTTCTAATCGTTCAATCCTCCTATAATCATTCTATTCATTTATTTTTGATTCATAGTTTCTATGCTCGTCGAAAGATGGAGGCTGACGAATAACAGCGAAGAAGTTGCTGTGGCAACCGTCTGTTTGTGCAGCAGTAAGTGTGGCTAAATTTAGTCAATGAAATTATCTGTCAGCTTCCTGCAACACAGGCCAGTATATTATAAAAAGGACGGCGCATGGCCAACATGACTTGTGTTCTCGCCAAGTACGTTCTGGATAAGAACGCAGGAAAGTATGGACTTGGGGAGACCGGGAGCACGCAGAGTAAATGTGGGACAATTGGAACAGAAGCGTACTGATGATGTCACCACACGCTCTGCTGGTCTAGAGCTGCATTTCATCTCCTGTTATTAACAGTCTTTAGATAACAATAAATCATGAGTTTTTCATTTAGTGGGTGAATAATGATTAAAACAGATAAACACAAATCAAATAAACATTTTGCCAAATAAAACAAAAAAACTCCATCATAGCCGGCGGTCCTTCACACACTGCTGCTGCAGAAGGGCTACCGTTAGCCCAGGCTGCAGTTAGCCTTGGCGAACCGCTGGTTGCCATGGTCCTCTCAACATCAGAACTCTTTTTAAAATTTTAATTATGCACTAAATCAGTAAATCGGTATATTGCGACGCGTAAAAGTATAACTTTCTCACCTCAAACTATCTTAAAACGTACTTTTATTGAACAACGGAAACAGAAAAGTGAACTTTTAATTTAATACTCTGAACTCTGTGAGCGCTATTCTGAAGCTGCTGCTGCCGCAGTGCATGCTGGGACAGCTGTCAGTCTGGAGAAAGACAAGTCTGCTGGGATGCAAGCTGGGTAAAGAGGGAGGGGCTAGAACAACATCCAGGGACTTTGTCCGTTCTCTGTCCTCTTGTTCTTGTGAATTGGAATAGTACTATGGCTGTAGCTGAGGACGTTTCACGAGCAAATGAGAACGCACAGATTGAGAAATGGCCGCTGACCCGGGAACCCACCCGCTGTAGCTAGCAGATCTGCTTGGGTCTTGTGCAAGCTAGTGAGGTTATGCTATGATGGGCTGAACGTTGCCACAGACAGTGTGGCGAGTCGGGAACATCTTTAGCGTTAGCGTGTCTGTCGACCGAGGAATATTTAACTGATTGATAAAGATGAAAAAATCTGTTCATGGTGAACAAAGTAACTGCAAGACCACAATATAAAGGGGAAGAGGTGTGTAGTGCTGTGGCTAGCTGTGCTCAGTAGCTAACAGGTTAGCCTCTTTTAGCTGGCTCAGTTAGCCATATTAAGCTAAAATACTTTTAACTTAGTAAACATCAACCGTTTGTCGTTGGGTTCAGTTCTGTTCCCAGATCAATGAGCTGTGTTATTACAGGATCAACACCAACATGTGTGGAAATGGGCGCCTATAGTCGTACCTTTAGCAGAAGCTCCACCACCTCGGTGTGGACCAGACCCTGGACGGACTCCCCGTTGACGTGGGTGATGAGGTCGCCGGCCCTCAGCCCCGCCTCGCGTGCCGGACTGCCGTCCTCAACAGACTGAACCCAAACAGAACAAAAGGAGGTTCAGGTTTGACCGTCCACCTTCAGGGAGGAACTTCACATTCTAGATTCACATCACAGGTCGGAAATAATAATAGAACATCATCCACTCTGGTTTTGTTTGCTTGTTAGAAGAACATCAGATGTTCATTTCCTTCTCGTTACCGTTTTAGTTTCAGGAGGAGGAAAGGGTGATGAGGTGTGTGTTTGGTGATGCAACAAAGGATTGTGGGTATTAAACTGAAGCAGAGGGACAAATTCTTTAAAGGGTAGGGAGGTAGATAATAACAGGTTATATTGGCAATATGCACAGATATAAAACTCCGGGTCAATAACTGATATTTAACATTATTAAAGATCATATTTGTTGAACCAAACACACACAACATGGACCCAATATTATAATACTTAAAGGAATAGTACACCCAAAACATGATTAGCCTTCATTTTCTACTCACCCCCATGCTGAACAACACTCTGGAGTACTTTTTTGATATCTCAAATGCATCTGGAGATCTGGGAGGCTTCTTGCTGTCTGCTGACATTCAAATAATGGAGGTCTATGGCGCCCGAGGCAGAAAGGTCCATAAAAGTCCACAAAAAACGTGTCAATATTCCTCCATACTGTTCGTCCAATGTATTCCAAGTGTCCTGAGTGGGTAGCATCCAGAATTTACTCGAAACGAAGTCATTTAGAATGTTTTAGAGCATAAACAGTAGTGTATAGGATTTCCTGAAAGTGTGTTCACGAGTCTACGGAAACCGCGGCAGACCAAACCAGATGAAAGTGCGCATTCAGCGTCTGCTCTGCCGATAATGCAAGCGTAGAAGAAGAAATGTGCTGTTTACCTGTGCAAAGAAAGAAACAACGAAAGAAAAATGTCTGAGGACTTCAGTGTTGAGGAAGAGCATGAGTTCTTTGCCGAGCTGAATGCGCACTTTCATCTGGTTTGGTCTGCCGCGGTTTCCGCAGACTCGTGAACGCGCTTTTAGGAAATCCTATACACTACTGTTTATGCTCTAAAAACATTCTAAATGACTTCGTTTCGAGTAAATTCAGGATGCTACCCACTCAGGACACTTGGAATACATTGGACGAGCAGTATGGAGGAATATTGACACGTTTTTTGTGGACTTTTATGGACCTTTCTGCCTCGGGCGCCATAGACCTCCATTATTTGAATGTCAGCAGACAGCAAGAAGCCTCCCAGATCTCCAGATGCATTTGAGATATCAAAAAAGTACTCCAGAGTGTTGTTCAGCATGGGGGTGAGTAGAAAATGAAGGCTAATCATGTTTTGGGTGTGCTATTCCTTTAAGGCTAGATGTTTGACTCAATGAACATTAGATAAAAAACACAGATTAAAATATGGGTTTTAGAACGAGTGAAATTTAATGTTTATAGAGTTAATTTTGATATTTGGAAATTCCAGGAAACAGAAATGAAACTTTATCAAACTTTCCAAGAAAAACGTAATAAAAACAATCCACTGGACTTTGTTTCCAAGTTTGAAGACGACACTTAGGAATAATTTGCATGTTTTTAATGCCAAAACAAGGCTTTGTTTTTGGTCCACTCTATAAAACCTGGAACTCAACGCTATTTCTGACATTTTGAATTAAAAAGCTTCCTGGATGGGAAGAGAAAAGTCTTCAAACTTGGAAACAAAGTCCAGTGGATTGTTTTTCTAAATTTTGTGGAATGACAAACTTCTTAAATCAGGAAAAGGTTTTGAAAAGAACTTTGCCGCTTTCCTAGATTTTATTTATCATTTCCTTTTATTTATTAATTTTATTATTTCTCCTTGTTCAGTTGATTTCTTTGAATTGCAATCTTTTCAAATTGTGTTTTTCAAATCACTTTTTTCTTCAAGCCTCATGCACGTGCTCGCTTTCACCAATAAAAATTTTGCTGCCAACGTCCAGCCGACCGATAGAAATCCATTTTCAACCAGAAGTGAAGAGAATGTGGTCTGTAAAATTATTTTAAATGTGTAAAACTCAAATTTTAAAAAAGATAAGAAAAAAAAAGGAAAAAAATCTGAAGTGCTTTAAATGTTAAAAAAAGTGAAAAAAAATGTATTGAATTATTTTTTTCCAAAACATAATATTTGAGAAAAGTTTTTTTTTGACTAACACATTTTTTAAATTGGTACTTCTGGATTGCTTTTATGTTTATTTCCAAAATGTGTTCTTTGCTTTCAACAATGGGACAAAATTCACTCCATAAATTTGACCTCATCAAACCAACCTGAAATAGGACCGGTTCAGGTTTGCTTTGATGCTGCTAACTTCAGATGGGTCTACAGACCACCTACCCAGACCATGTGGTGAACCGTGTAGACGTCGCTGTCTCCCATGTACACCCTGATGGCTCGCAGGGCAAAGCCAAACCTCCTGCCCGAGCTGTGGATGACCACCGGGGGCCTGAGGCAGCTGACGCTGACGGGCAGGTCCCGGCTGGGGGACGAGTCCCGGGACGAGGGGTTGGACGACAGGGACAGAGATGATTTGGGACTCAAAGGAGGAACTGCTGAGTCGTCTGGTGTCAGAAGGCAGGAAGTATTTAGAGTCAAACAATCTGCTCTTATTTGTGCCGTTGAACAAAGCTGCATCTGGGTCTCACCTGGGGTGATGATGAGGGACAGACCGGAGACTGAAGCAGACTTGGGGACGTTGCCAGACGGGGATCTGGGTTTCTCTGGGGTCTCAAGTTGGTGAGCGATCCGCCGGGACGCCCCTCTACGGAACGAGGGCCTGGTTCCCGTGCTGTTGCTGCGCAGTCGGATCCGCCTCAGGTTGGAAACGATCCCGTCTGTAAGCCAGGGTTCAGAGTGAGCGCATGTTCCCCCGCCAAACATGAAGTAACGACGGACGAGCCGCTTTACCTTCCTCCTCAGCGGGGATGGCGAAGCGAGCCGTGACATCCAGGCTCTGGGTGCTGCTCATCACCAGCGGGCCGCTGCCGCCGCGCTCTGGGTGCGACGGGCTGGAGGAGGCACGTGGACGAAGGCTGCGAGAGGGAAAAAAAAAAGACACGTTAAAAATGTATCACTAGCTTTATTTAGACATTTAACCCAGAATGAACCCATCTACAAGATCAATATGTCCTTTTGTAAAGATACTTTTCTTCTCCATGTAAATATCACATATTATTGAGCTTAACCTTTCTTGTTTCTGCTAAACTAGTTTCCTAAAGAGACAGACAGACTTTGAAGTTCTTCCTAAAAACAAGACTTATTTCTCTTTAAAAAGAGCATCGATGGGAATGAGGCATATAAGGCACACACTCGCACATCAACCATCCATCCACGTTCTTCCGCTTTATCCGGGGCCGGGTCTCGGAGGCAGCAGTCTAAGCTGAGATTTCCAGACTTCCCGATCCACTCCAGCGGCTCTGGGGGGGCCCTGAGGTGACACAGGGCCAGCTCAGAGACATAGTCCCTCAAGCGTGTCCTGGTCCTTCCATGAGCCCTTTTCCCAATAGGACAAGCTTGGAACAGCTCCTAAGGGAGGCGACCAGGAGGCATCTGGAACAGACGCCCGAGCCACCTCAGCTGACTCCTTTCAACGTGGAGGAGCAACGACTCCGAGCTCCTCCCGGGTAACTGAGCTCCTAAACCGATCTCGAAGGGTGCGCTCAGCCACCCTGCGAAGGAAACTCATTTCGATCACAAGACCCTTATGGACAGAATCAAACCCAGGACCGTGACGTCGTCTGGTATGGCGAAGCCAAGGCCCCACCCTGGAGCCAGCCCTGGGGTTGGGGCCTGCATGGTGGCTGGGCCATGCCCCCGGGGCCCGGCCGGGTTCAGCCTGAACAGACGACGTGGTTCCACCTTCCTGTGGACCCACCACACGCAGAGGGATCCGTAGGGGTCAGATGCAGAGAGGACCGGGTGGTGGTTGAGGGGGAAAGAAGTAGAAAAGTTGCACTCCACCTATAAAAACCTCATTCACTGAAATAATAATATCCCTGCGTTATAGATTCTTAAAGGCCTCGCATCAAAAAAATACTGCGCAAAATCAGTGCAATGCAATACCTCGGCTCCAGGCGTCCCGCCCCCTCCACAGACACTCCGCTGCTCCTCTCCCATATTGTAGCTGACCGCAGACAGGAGGCCGGCTAGTTTTGTTTTTATGACCGAAATTGCGGAAAACAACTCGTGAAGTTTGACCCGCTAGAAGAGCGAGGTGCGTGAGAACGCTGGGACCCTTTTTCCACCTGGATCTCCGCTCTTTTTGGCCCTCATGTCCCTCCGTCGTCGGACTAAACTCGCCCCCACTTCCTCGCTGCCTCGGCCGTATCTAGACCCACAGTGTGTAGCACAGACCACGCTTCAATATTGAGCATAAATCAAAAATGTCTGCGTCAAGCTCACTGCAACACACTGCTGTAAGAGTATAATCAGGAAGCGCAGTAGGAGGGCAAAATAGGTTTAGCGCCACCGCAGCACGGGAGGAGAATTACGCCCAGGAACAAATGGATAAAAATAGACCGGAGGAAAAAAAAAACATGAATCGATTCTCTTGCGGACGTGTTGATCGGATCGTCGGCTGTTGGATCGATGCATCGATACAAAACGATTATTATTTACACCCCTACTGCTCAGTGGTCCGCGGTGCATGTATGCTCAGACACGTGAAACATTAGAGGGAACACCTGCGCCAACCATTCCTCATACCATGAGTGTCACACAAATAGATCCATCATGCGATCGGTACAAGTTTAAAGTGCAGATGAATAAAATCCTTATTTTTGGTTTTAGGCAGGAAAATTCCTCCATATAAGCAGAAAACCTGCAGGATCAGAACAGGGAGGTTCATTGGGTCCATCAGAAGCTCAGACTCACCTCCCCCTGGGTACATCTGCCTTCTTGTCTCCACCGGCCAAGTTCTTGTATCCGTCTCCCAGTGAAAGGCCTCCCCTGCCGTCCCAACGGTCCTCCTTCTCCTCGCTGTGGCTTCGCTCCGAGGAAGACAGGCTCTGATTGGACGGTGTGGACGTGGACAGGTGTTCTGTGCTGCTGTACACCTACAGATCAGGAAAAGCAAATGCGTCATTTGATGCGTTTAGTCTTCCTTACACAACGAGGAGCCGAATCAGAGCGACGTCCACCTTGCTGAAGCGGTGAGCGACTGAGGAGAACTGTCGGAGCTCCAGGTTGGACTCGTCATCGTTGGTTTCGTCGTCATCGGAACCCAGATGGCAGTAGCGCTCCGACCGTGCTACAGGAGGCAGAGGAGAAGAGAGAAAAAATTGGATTGGGCAACAGCTGATGAGATGTTTCAGAAATAACCGACATACTGTCAAAGTAGCTGGTGTCCTCTTCAGACTCCAGCTGAGGTATGAACTCTGCTTTCTGCCTCAGGAGGCCGTTCCAGTCCAGGCCCAAAAAGAACATGTGACTCTTCACCTCTGTGGTTCCAGCTGTAGACAAAACACATCATTAATGATTCTTTCTGAAACATCTGAACGTAGCATAAACTGTACAACAAATTAACCCTTAAGCATCTTTAATGGTCCATTTTTGACTCCATACTTTTAGACTGGGATTTTTTCTGGGCTCCAGCCTTTAATATACTACTACTGAGAACGAACTACGGAGAACATCAGCCCAGTTCTAAAGTCCTTCCTCAGGCTCCATGTATCTCAGAGAATAGACTTTAAAATACGTGTCTAAGTCTAAAAATCACTGAAAGGCTCAACGCCAAGAAACATTCCAGGCTTATTGTCAGTGGATCAACAGCCAGACCAATCGGGTCTACTGGCTTTAATCAACCCTTCAGAATCAGAACCAAACACGGAGAAAAGCTTTTAGTTTTTATGCTCCACTCATCCGGAATAAAATCCCAGAAAACTGTAAAAACACTAAAGCCCTCAGTTGCTTGAAATTGAGAAAAAGTGATTTGTTTAAATCAGCAGTGGCGGCTGGCCAATAGAGGGCGCTATGGTGCCGCCCCACTCCCAATGACACTGATTAAGAAAAAAAATATTTTTTTTATAATTTTATTTAAATTAAAATGTAAAATATTTCGAAATATATCTGTATATATATATATATATATATATCTGTATATATATATATATATATATATATATATATATATATATATATATATATTTTAGATGTGCAAGATATTTAATTGATATTTAACCTTTAATGACTAGTAAAGCGTAATTCAATATTGACTCGTTAAAAGTTGTACATGTGCAGCAGCTCCTCTGCAATAAAAAAAAAGGTAAGGAGTGACAGGAAGTGTATTTGCTGAGAGAGACAGAGTGCAAGAAATGTCCTTTTTCAGGACCTGGTTTAGCAAGAAGGCTAAGCTAGCAGCATGTAGCTTTATTCTGCTTTCTCTGCCTCCTTTTTTCAAATGTCAGGATCTGAGCCAGCATGGATAAAGATAGCTAGGACGGATTTAAAGCACTTTCTAGAAAAGACAAAGAAGCAGGAACAATCTGGGATTCACATGGAAAATAATATAATATAATATAGTGTACTTTTTCTAGACGTTTGTTAGCTTGCATAGTTGCTTATAAATAAACTACGGAAGAGGATTAGAGCCACTGAAAAAAAAAAGTTAACTGATTTTTAAATATTATTTCAGTTTAATATGGGAAAAAAGTCAGAATTCTGACTTTAATCTCAGAATTTTGGATCTTAATGTAGATGGGCACCATGAAGGAAGAGATGTGGAGCACTCAGCTTCACTGACAAAGATGTGAGTTGTTTGAGAGGGCCAGTGACACATTGGTGGAAAATGACGGAATTAGGCAACTTTTTACGTGCCCGAGGGGTCCCCTCATTAATGGAGGAGCAGGTGATTAAAACAAGAGAGCTAGTCTCTAAAACAGACATGGCTATGGCTTGATGCGAACATGTTTGTTAGCTGTCAGAATTCAGAGAAAAAAGTCAGAATTCAGAGATTAAAATCAGAATTCTGAGATTAAAGTCAGAATTCTGACTTTTTCCCCATACTTAACTGAAATAACATTTTAAAATCAGTTTACTTTTTTTTTTTTTTTCCCCAGTGGCCCTAATCCTCTTTCGTAATAAACACATTCTCAGTAAATAGTTTTTATATATTAAAACCAAAAACTGACTCTGTTATTAAATTGGTACATTATTTTTTTGTAGGTTTTTGACCCAATTTTGGACCTTGCAAAACATTGATTTGTCTCAGAAGGGCAAGAGTTATGCATAAAAAGTAAACCTACGCATTAAATTATTTCTTCTTATTAAATTTTTTCGAAAGATTCTCGCACAACTGGAAAATCGCCCCAAAAATGGCACAGTGTACGCCCGGCTTAAGCCACCACTGTAAAAATCGCATACCACAACTTATTGTTAATGTGCCAGCTACAGTACAAATAAAGGTTTATAAAAACAAAGTTTGTTTTTTGGGAATTAATTGGGGACTAGAAGTCTGTTTTTTCAGTATTATTGTATGACCATGATGGATGAAGGTTTAGGAGTGTTTGTTCTTTCACATATGAGAGTAAATCAGAAATAAGTAAAAGAGGCGACAAAAAAAACTAAAAGGTGAGAAGTTATGGACTAATTAGGAGGGAGGACGATCACCTGGTTAAATGTTCATTTACGGAAAAATAATGTGCGTGTGTGTGTGTGTATATATATATATATATATATATATATATATATATAAACAAAAGATGATGAAAGGTTTCTTCTCTGTCACGCTGCCACTGACCTGTTCCCAGACGCTCCAGAGGGTTCTGTCTCAGCAGTCGGGTGATCAGGTCCTGAGCGTCGGCTGGCAGAGCATCTTCACCTTCAGGCCAGATGATGTCATCTAAAATCAGCAAAGCAAAGACACCGATTGTTGCAGAGAAAGAAAGAAAAAAAAATCCCAGGTATGTATTTTTCCGTTCAAGTAATTCAACTATAAACACATTTGAATCAATGACATACATTGTGTAAATTAAGTACTAAACATGCCACCATTTTTCTCAGTAAATATGTTTCTAGAGGCGCTATTGACGTGACGTTTTCACCAGATGCAACCCATACATACCAATAAATCAAACCATATATGTCCAGAAATTAAGTTATGTGTAATAAAGTGAAATGGGCATGGAAAGACAAGACAGCAGCTGAAATCTCTCAGTATTAGAAAACAATCCTCCTCCTTATCAGTGCAGATTAATATCAGCTGGTTCAGAGCCAAATGACGGCCTTTAAAAAGGCGTCTCTGGTATCACACAAGAAACACCTCACAGTGGGTAAAAGTAAAGCGCTGTATCAAGAATAATAAAGAAAAAAAACTATAGAATTGCTTACAAAAGGATTTCTAAACTTCTGAATGTTCCAATGAGCACTTTTAATGATTTTTTATGACCGGCGGAAACGCTGTTATGTGTAACCAAACATCACTGTCAATAGAAATGAAAAACGACTCACCGTTTACCACCTGACCAAAGAGCTGCTCTGGAGTGTCTCCAAAGAAAGGCACACAGCCCACCAGAAACTCGTACAGGATGATCCCCATGGCCCACCAGTCCACTGGTTTGCCATAACCCTGCCTCAAGATGACCTCAGGAGCGATATACTCTGGAGTGCCGCACACCTGCAGAGGACAACAGAGGAGGGAGGGGGAGGTGAGCTCAGTTTGAGAACCGAGGCCCAAACCCTGAGAGGACGAGGCACCCGACCTGTTTGTCTATAAACTCCCTGGTGTCCTTTTCGATGTGTCCTTCGTACAAGTTGGTCGTCATGTTCATCAGACCGATCTTCGACAGCCCGAAGTCCGTCAGCTTAATGTGACCCATGGAGGTGATCAACAAACTACCAGGAGAGGGAGGAAGACGGCGTGAAGAGAGAAGTACGGGAATGAATGTTTGGTTTGGCTGAAGAGGCGCTCACTTGTCTGGTTTGAGATCTCGGTGCACGATGCCGTAGTTGTGGAGGTATTCCAAGGCGAGCACCGTCTCTGCAAAGTACATCCTGGCCATGTCCACAGGGAGGGGGCCGATGTTCTTCAGCAGGTTGGCACAATCCCCGCCTTAAAGCAGAGAGGAGCTGGTTACAGAGCAGCAGCTAATTATGAGGCAGAGCAAAATCGGAAAAGTGCATAAAGCATTTGCTCTAAGATATTAATAGAATCCTCCTTTCTGAATTATTTTGATGGGCGGTAAATAGAGCAAGTGGCTATCAGGGTTCCTACAGCATAAGGAAAGTTAAATTCAAGACTTTTTAAGACTTTTTAATGCCACTTGAAATAAAAATTTAAGACCAAATTCACAAGAAACACAAGAAAAACCTGCTTGCGACAACTTAACCCAAAGGTTTATTTTAACATAAACCACTGCACTAATGTTTCAAATTTTTAAAAACTTCCCATACAGGAAGAAAGCTAAAAACACACAAATGACAGAAATATTTTAACAATTATTTAACTGAATTCACAAAGTTTGTTTTAGCAGGGAACAAAACAAATCAGTTTTAAAGCCCCAACATAACCAGTGCTAAGTCTTTTTTGCAGCTATTTTTCTTTGTATGGTTTTCTTAGTATGTTTGATTTGGTGATAAGTGGAGGCGTTGCAGAGACAAGGGTGGAACTAAACTGAGAAATACCAGCTGTTTCTCTGTAACTCCATTTTGACGCTTTGTGTTTCGTGCTTCGCATGTGCGACTCCACTGCCTTAATTCCCATCGTTCTGAGCTTGAATGACTTCTTGCACAAAATCCACTGAGCCTCATGTATGTTCCCTGGTTTAGCCATGGAGAAAACTCTTGGCTGGAGCCAATTTTGGTTACATTTACACTTGATCATATTTTCCAGACAAAAAGTTAATGGTGCATCTCCCAAATGTCCCGGCCGCAACAACGCTTTTATTGGTGCCGCTATCGGGACGAACCAATAATGGCGAGTCGTTATTTTTTTTAAATAAAAAAAAAAAGGTAAATTTTAATGTTTTATTTAGATTACAAAAATAAATCATAATAAAAATAATGGGCAATGGCGTTGGCAGAGAAACTGACAGATGGATTAAAATTCAACAGGAAAACAGTTAAAAAGATACTAAGAACAAACTATGTGGATGTGAAGATGTAACATACAGCAGAATGGGTTGTTGACTCTTTCTTTAATTTTGGGCAAAAGTTCCTGTGATGTTATGAGCCGGAAAGCTCTTGAACTCCAATACCCAGCATGCAATGGGGCGCATGGCGTCACGGGTTGGAGGCTAGAGCGAGAGGGAAGGTCTGAATGTAGCTTGCTACTGAAAGGTTCTGTGGAAGTTTGGAAATAAATATACAGAACAAGTTTACACGCCTCGTCTGTTCTATATAGAATCGAAGAACAAAACAGTTCCAAAAACCTTTAGAAGAATCTGCTGCTGCTCAGCCGCCTGACGTCGGTGTGCAGCAGCAGATCAGTGTGGTCTCCACCTGCCTCCTCCAGCTGGGCGGAATAAACGCCTCTGAAAACTCCCCGCCCGAACAGAGCAAGCGATCTTCATCGCAACACTCATGACATGCTTCATATTTAAAATACTGCCACACTGTTGTTGCTGAATGATGCAGCGGCTGATCCAAAAATCCGGGAAAGTTTCAGACAGCTTGAACAAACCAACAAATCCAGCAGTGCGCCCAACCATAGATGGAGCCCCATCAGTTGGGATAGATGTCATTATCTCCTTATCTCTGCAGATTCCTCTTCGCGCTTTAGAGTCCCTGGTAACCTAGCAACCGTGGCAAACCATGCCCAGCAATCAGCATGCAGAAAAAAAGGTTCCCTGCATACTTTTTACTTTTCATTTTATTATGAAAATAGACGTGGCCTCTCATGATCAATGATTTGATTAGTGTTTTTAAAAACGTTTTTTTTTTTTTGTCATAGCCATAAATAGGTCTACATTGTAAAACTTCTCACAATCGACTGAAACTCCGCCCACGATCGACTGGTAGATCGCGATCAACTGGTTGGGCACCCCTGGATTAGGGCTTCTCTGTTTCTTTTGTGGGTCTGCTTCTGTCTCCTTGAATCCCAGTCGGCTTCAGCAGAGGGCTGCACCCACTGAGCCTGGTTCTGCTGGACGTTTCTTCCTGTCAAAAGGGAGACCTTTTCTCCCCACTGTCGCTGCAGCATTCGGTGAGGGATTGAGGAGTCGACAACACAATGCAAACAGATATCTACAGTCTCCACGTGCTCATCAGGAGGAACGAATCTTAGACTGAGCCTAAATGTCTGTGTCAACGTGAAAACTGGTGAAGAAAACAGCAAAGGACTTACTGTTGGGACTGAAGGGAAACCAAAACAATTTTCACTACTTTGTTTTAGTAAATCCCAACAGGATCCACTTAAGTCTGTGGTGGTGATGAGACAATTAGTGAGAAGGTGAAACCCTGCCCCGCTGTTCATAGTTACCTTCTACATACTCCATGACCATGCAGAGGTGCCTCCTGGTCTCAAAGGAGCAGAACATGGAGACCACAAACGGGTTTTCAGCAAACGTGAGAATGTCTCGTTCCACAAACACCTGCTGGATCTGGTTCCTGAGGATCAGGTTTTGTCTGTTGATCTGCTTCATGGCGAAGCGTTGGCGGGTCTCTTTGTGTCGCACCAGGTACACGGCTCTGCGTGGCGGCAAAAAGATGGACCCGAGATTTAACAACAAAGCAAAAAAGATACATTCACTAAATCAAGGAAGGGTAAGATTTATGAGAGAGAATTACTCACCCGTAGGCGCCGTTGCTGATTAGCTTTATGGTTTCAAAGTCACTCTCGCGTGGTTTTCGACAAGGAGGGGTGGAAGCTGCTCGGCTCTGCTTCCAGAAAAGAAAGAAAAAACCCAAAAAGCTGCTTTGTTTGTCTTAAAGTATTATTAATGTCGACCAGTCATGTAAAGGGTCGTCACGTCTTCGCAGAAACGACTGAGGTGAGAACAAACCTGCACAGGTGTTGCCTCTCCAGAGTCATCGGACTCCCTGCTGGCTGATCTCTGACACGGGCTGGTCTGCTCCAAATGGACCACCTCTGCAGGACCGGAGGAGAAACAGCTTCAGGTTCTATTCAGGGTTTCATGCACATGTGAGCAGCTCAGTGTGAAGGGAGTGAGTGGATAGAGATCGCCCCCTGCTGAAGAAGTTTAAGCCGGGTATACGCTGCACGAATTTTTGGCCTTTTTGGGCAGATTCTCCAGTAGTGGGACAATTTTTTTGATGTTAACTCCAAACTAAATATTTATTCAATAAGGTAAGATTTTTATAAATAAATCAATGACATAGTGAAAAATTAACCCTTATTTTTTCTCTTAAAAAATACCAAATGACCATTAGGGGTGTATATCACATCCATCATGGCGATTTGATTCAGTATCGATTTCCTGACCCAACGATTCGATTATTTTTGACACTCAAGAATGCACCACCATACGATTAATCGTAATTTTTTATACCTTACAGGCTAAACAAAGTTTCAAGTTTGAAATAAATCAATGAAAGCTGCAATAGCGTTATGCATCAAAAAATACTGCACAAAATCAGTGCAATGAGTGCAATGCAATATCTCGGCTCCAGACGTCCCGCCCCCTCCACAGACGCTCCGCTTCTCCTCTCCCAAATTGTAGCTGACCGCAGACAGGAGGCCGACTTATTTTGTTTTTATGACCGAAATTGCGGGAAACAACTCGTTAAGTTTGACCCGCTAGAAGAGCGAGGTGCGCGAGAAAGCTGGGACCCTTTTTCCACTTGGATCTCAGCTCTTCTTGGCCCTCAAGTCCCTCCGTCATCGGACTAAATTCGCCCCCACTTCCTCGCCACCTCGGCCGTATCTAGACCCACAGCGTGTAGCACAGACCACGCTTCAATATTGAGCATAAATAAAAAATGTCTGCGTCAAGCTCACTGCGACACACTGCTGTAAGAGTATAACCAGGAAGCGAGGTAGGAGGGCAAAATAGGTTTAGCGCCACCGCAGCACGGGAGGAGAATTACGCCCAGGAGCAAATGGATAAAAATAGACCGGAGAAAAGAAAAAAACATGAATCGATTCTCTTGCGGACGTATCGATGCATCGATACGAAACGATTATTATTTACACCCCTGATAACCATAAATATTGCTCCTAATTTTTGATTGCTTAACTTAATTATATCTTTTAATTCTTTTGCATATCTTTTTTAATATAAATATACACATATCCCTTCAAATTATTATTATATAGCTCTTTAACATATCTGCAGATAATGTTTCTACCTTATATACATTGAATATATGATTCTTCACTATAATGCCTATCTGTTTGTCTTTTGTTGGACTCTGTGGTTGAACCTACTTCTGATGTTTTCTCGCAGTCAGTCCTGCATTAGCTGATTGGCATTACAGTTGGCTTCTATTTTCTGGACAATTAATCCAATAAATAATTTTCCAACCCGCTACCACTGCAAATTTGTGACGTTTAATCTTCAGATTGTCATTTGTGGAAGTTTAACGATGGTATAATAAGTGGATAAAGATATAAAAACAATGATTAAGGTTTCACTGCACCTTCCAGTGGATCTCTGGTGAGGCCCAGTTGGCTGATGATGTATCTAGGAAGGTCGGTCTTGATGCCATGGCCTACTTTGGCTTGGCCCTCTGCAGCTTCCAAACGCTGGTAGAACTCCTCTGGATCAAATTCCTGTACGGTAAATAGAATAGGAAAACAGAATGAGACTTTAGCTGGTGGGTCTGAAATACAGAGAGTTCAGAGAAGGAAAGGGGAGAAGGAACTAAAGACCAACAGAAAAGACAGCCTAACCAATGGAAATATGCAAAGAACAGAAGGAATGACCCTGAGAAGGAGCAAAGGAAGAAAGGAAAGATTAAAGTGAGGAATAAGCATTTACAAAACAGTGAATAAATACAGAAATATGAACAATTTTATATCATATTCTTTTAACTCATCCAGAGCACAAAAACATTCAAATCAACTTTTCTCCTCTATAGGAACCCAGTGGGTTAATGGAAGCTGGACCTCCAGGTACCCGCTGTGTGGTACAGAAATCCTGCTGCTGCCTCAACAGGAACAGCCCATCTTCAAAGGAAAAGTCCGCTCATATTCAGAATTCAAACTCATAAAGGAACTTTAAATTTGAAATTATTACATACTTTTCAATAAATAAATGTTTTTTTAATTCAGAGTAATTCTCATGTGAATGTGCTTTACTGCAGGCATCCATGTTTGTCAAAGAACACTACTGCCACCTACTGGTTTGTGACGTCACGGTGCGGTATCGGCTGTTGATCAAGTCCCAGTGCTGTATCTGGTGTTTGTCACAACGCGCTATTATCCAAGTCATCTTGAAAACATTCTTCTTCCAAATGTTGGCTACATATTACGGGTTTTTTCTCTGGCCAGAAGTTCGATGGCAAATCCTCCCTCTTCAAGTTGGCGATTCAACGACCAACCCGTCCGTGGAGGATCAGGAATCAGAAAGGTGCAATATCTTTTTTTTTTCACGGTAACCTCAGGGAATGGAGCCATTTTTGTGGGGCATTTTAGAGGAGAGAACTTCTATTGTTTGTACCAAGCGCAACCAACAACAGACATGAATTTTCAGCATGTGCTCTGTGCGTTTCACCCGATGTATTCCAACATCCAGCTGCCATGCACGTGGGCATTGTCAGTTTCACTATAGCTCTGGTGAATTTCAATGGTGAAGTCCTCTGGAAATCTTCAATAATTGTTGTTGATTGCAGATGTGTCTAGTAGTTCCCATTGATTCTGCTTGTAAAGCGGGGAGAATGGCGCTAGGCTAACCGCACCGTGACGTCACTGCTGGAAGATGACAGGAGGGAGGGGTTACTTAGCCTCGTGAGACCATTCTGATCTCGCGAGCTTTCAAGATTTCACTCGCTAATCAGTCTGGAGACTCTCCGTTAAAGAAAATTTGGAGCCGTTCACCAAACGAACGTCCAATCAGCGTTGGCTTTGAGGCGGGTCGAGGTGTGACGCAACGAGAAGCACGACAGTTCAGTCTAAAGAACATGGCGGCTTCAGCCGATGAAACTAGCGTTAGCGTGGCTATCGAGCAAGTTTTATCGGAATTACAGAGTATTTCTTCACTGAAAGAAGAGCAAAACACTGCTATGGAGGCTTTTCTCAGAGGAAAAGATGTTTTTGCTCTTCTCCCGACTGGTTTCGGCAAGAGTTTGATCTATCAATTGGCTCCTCTTCGTCTTCGCTCTGTTAGTACGTCATATGCTTCGTTGATCTGATTGGTTTATTTGGCCCGTCTATCACCAACATAGGCCAATCAGCTAACCAGTATTTTCGCCCCTTCCCAAAATTACTTCAACGGAAGGTTTCCAGATGGATATGCGGAGAAAATCCATCTGGCGGAGTCAGGTTAGGTGTTACTATATTTGGGCAGAAATGGCCGCTCCAAGACTCAGTGACTGCAACGAAAAAAAGTATTTTTATTCCTGAGTAACTTTAAATTAATTAAATCACTGCAAACCTATTAGTTTTAGGTATAAATAATGATCCTTTGATTATTCCTTGCTGACCGGACTTTTCCTTTAAGAGATGACTCACCGTTCAGCAGACTGAGGAGGCAACTAGTTTGATCTTTGGGGCTTTAGGATTGCTGGACCAACATTCAGCTAGGTCCCTCTGCTAACTACCATTACTAGTAGCTCTTACCAAACACTCCAGCAGTCTGGCAGGCCTGGAGATGATGATGAGGATCTTCTTCACCAACTTGGTGATGATGGTCACCTCCTCGCTCTCTGAACGCTCATAAGCCTGAAGGGACCAGAGAGCGATTATTATCGTTATTATTAGTGGGATAGAACAAACAATACAAGGTTAGAGCTGTCAGTGTGGTAAAAATCTGGTTGTTATTTGAAATTGTAAAGGTTCACTTTTTTTGCAACATAAAACTGACTAAATCTTTTTTAAGTTTTAGTCAATTAAAACTATCAGATATTGTTACGACTAAAATTCGACTAATAGTTTTCGTCCTGAGGACTAAGACTACAAATGAATCTAAGATGGCTGTCAAAAAAACACTGCAACCAACCCATATTAAGGAGTAAAAACTCCTGTTGGCAGATTTTACTTATCAAAGAAAATCTTGACTTTTTTCGGATGCGTGAGGAAGACTCACCTCATGGAGCAGTTTCTCCAGCTTTTCCTGCAGCTCCACGAAGTACCTGGAGGTGACCAGGCCGTCCTGGGACTTGTCCAGGCAGTCCCTGGCCAGCTCCACCAGCTGGTGCTGAATGAATCCCAGCACGCCGTCGGCCAGGGGGAGAGACGTATCTGGAGAATACTCTGAAATGATGTGGACCAGCTGACCCTCCATCTGAGCAGTTGCCTGGGAAACCACAACAGTCAATTTGATTTACTTATAAGATATTGACTTGTAAAGAAAATATATATCCAGATGGTTTCATTCATTCATTCCAACAGAAAGCCACCAGTTTGAGGTAAAACAGTGTATTTCACCTTGGGGAAGCGCTCTTTGTAGACGTGATTCATCATGACAACCTCATTGTCGAACGTTCCGCAGGTCCGCCCAGGGCTAGACGAGAACCAGTCGAAGGACAGCAATGGAAACAGACAAAGAGCAAATGTTTAATGGATGAATATATGAAAATTCAAAATCTGCAGAGCATAACAAAAAAAAAGAAAAACCTGATCAGACGTACAGACAAAGAAATTTAACATTTGCCTAAAAAATTCAGGCCACTGAAGTACGACTGCCTGCTGTAGGAGTCAGTTTAAGTTTTATTCACTGGCTGTTTATCAGATTTGAGTCATTAAACTCCGATTTGAAAAGAAGCCATTTGAATTTCTCTGATCCACAGGATCAAAATTGTACCTAAAAGCTCAAACATGGTAATAAAGTCATCATTAAACCATGGTGGCTGCAGAAACCAATAAACTTCAGCTGTAATTAGGATTAAATATTGGAAGCGTTTCTCTGCAGAGATATTTGATTAGATCAAATCATTTTCTTATTTTGTTTTGAGGCGGCTGTGGTCAGCATAGCTGGTGCAACATTAACATGCCGGCTGTTTTCAAAGTTTTGATTGAACAAATAAGAGTGAGGAGGATCTGGAAGCTAAGATCTGAAGTCAACATTGGACTAAACATTTATGCTTGGAGATTTAGCTGCATTACACACAGCTAAAACAACAAAGTTCGTGGTATGTACTTCTTCCTCTGTCTCTGACCCCCCCCCCCTGCCCAATACACACATACCAGGGTTAGCTGCAGGCAGAAGGTTAATACCCTGATCTGATCCTTATGCCTCATAGCTTTATCCATTTATGTCATTATGTTGACATAATGACAGTTTCATGATACGAATCGAATCACGACTTCTTTGCCAATACCCACCCCTAGTCTGCGCTATGTTACTCCACGTCCCAAAACAAGAGAGACAATCAGGAACTAGCTGTGGGTCGAGATACGGCCGAGGCGGTGGGGACAAGTTTGTCCGACATTAGAGGGACATGAGGGTAAAAAAGAGTGGGGATCTGAGTGGAGAAAGGCTCCCAGCGTTCTCGCGCACCTCGCTCTTCTAGCTGATCCAAATTCACGAGTCATTTTCCACAATGGCGGTCAGACAAACAAAACAAGTTGGTAAGGTACCAAACAGGAAATACAGATAGTGTAGAGCAGATGTAGATTTGACCAATCAGAGGCCTCCTCTCTGTGGTCACCTACAATTTTTGAGAGGAGCAGCAGGGTATCTGAGGAGGGGGGGGACGTCTGTGCGTTTACTGCGACACCTACGCAAACGACCTGGTTTCCAAGTATAAATCAGCCTTTAGGGAGATGCGTCATCAAAATCAAATTGTTTGATTTAAATTTTTTTTTTCTGTTAAACATATCAGATATACTGAAGGAACATGCTTATTAAAGCATGCCACACTCCATATGAGTGTGGCATTTTTCTGGCTATTTCTGTGCAGCAACAGTTGCTAAAAGGGCGTGGCTTCATCCAGGGCTGACACTGAACGGTAACCTCAGGGAATGGAGCCATGTTTAGGGGGCATTTTAGAGGAGAGAACTTTCATTGTTTGTACCAAGAGTTGTGGATCTCTTGTGTGGATCTAAGCGCAGCAACAGACGCGAATTTTCAGCATGTGCTGCGTGCTTGTGGCAAGGGGAAGGATGTGTCACAGGGGAAAAAAAATAAGCCATCCAGATGCAGCCAGCACCCTGGGCCTCTCTTCATAAAACGTCTCTGGCAAACTCATAGCTTCCAACCGCTCCTTCTGCTCAGAGGGATTGTCCAATCATTTTATAGAATCCTCAAATAGAACACAAGCTTTTTTCCAGAGACGCACAAAACCATAATTTCACCAAGTTTCGCTTTAAAAAAGGGCCACGTTTCAGTATTAAGGAAGACAAAGAGAGAGAGGAAGAACAATAGAGGAAGGAACGTTGGCAGAAAGCAACAATGATTTACAGTTAATTTATTATGTGCAGTGCTGAGTCTCTGGAGTCTAGATGTTGATTATCTATAGCTTTTCTTGCAGGGTTCCTACAGCATAAGGCAAGTTAAATTCAAGACTTTTTAAGACTTTTTAATGCCACTTGAAATAAAAATCTAAGACCAAATTCACAAGAAACACAAGAAAAACCTGCTTGCGACAACTTAACCCAAAGGTTTATTTTAACATAAACCACTGCACTAATGTTTCAAATGTTGAAAAGCTTCCCATACAGGAAGAAAGCTAAAAACACACAAATATATATTTTAAAAATTATTTAACTGAATTCACAAACTTTGTTTTAGCAGGGAACAAAACAAATCAGTTTTAAAGCCCCAACATAACCAGTGCTAAGTCTTTTTTGCAGCTATTTTTCTTTGTATGGTTTTCTTAGTATGTTTGATTTGGTGATAAGTGGAGGCGTTGCAGAGACAAGGGTGGAACTAAACTGAGAAATACCGGCTGTTTCTCTGTAACTCCATTTTGACGCTTTGTGTTTCGTGCTCCACATGTGCGACTCCACTGCCTTAATTCCCATCGTTCTGAGCTTGAATGACTTCTTGCACAAAATCCACTGAGCCTCATGTATGTTCCCTGGTTTTAGCCATGGAGAAAACTCTTGGCTGGAGCCAATTTTGGTTACATTTACACTTGCTCAGATTTTCCAGAGAAGAAGTTAATGGTGCATCTCCCAAATGTCCCGGCCGCAACAACGCTTTTATTGGTTCCGCTATCGGGACACAACCAATAATGGAGAGCCGTTATTTTTTTAAATAATAAAAAAAAAAATTGTCAATTTTAACGTTTTATTTAGATTACAAAAATAAATCGAAATAAAAATAATCCTATTTATGATGTTTTAAATATTAAGACATTTTAATACCAATTAAGGCCTTAGTTTTATTTGAAGAATTCAATGCCTTTCAAGACTTTTTAAGGACCTGCAGGAACCCTTTTTTGGGTTAGAATGCAGCTAATCTGATGCTGGTTTAACTCCAAAAAAGTTTGGTCTTTGTTTCCAACTTGGATCTGACGAAATTGTTTTTATAAAAACATTTTTTTTTTTAAATAAAGCATTTTGAAAACCCCATGATAATCACATTTAATTAATTTAATGTCAATTAATGCCTTAATTTAAAAAAAATAATTTAATGATTTTTTTAATGACCCACGGAAACCTTGTAATGGAAAAATATCGGTATCAGAAAAAAGCCAACTTGTGGGATCACTAATTATTTCGTTACGGTTTAAGACTAAATGTCTAATTTTGAGTGCGTCTCCAGAACTAACAGTCTCTACATAATTCATTAAACCCTGCTGTTCATTTCCAATCAGCCCATTATTAAAGCCTACAGACAGTGAGGAACTCAAAGTTGGATTAAAGTCGTTGTTTCAGTGAAACTCTGTACCTGAGGCTGCGGGAGCGGAGCCTGACATGGTGCACTGGCTGGGCTCCCTCGTCGTCCGCCGCGCTCTCAGAGCTCCGGAAATGTTTGAAGAGCAGGTGAAGATCATCTTGGGTGGGCTGAGATGGCAGCTGGTGCAACAGCTCGTGAGAAGACGACGACTTAGAAGAAAAAATTAAACGAGAGAGAATTTTGTCAGGTAGCAGCACACAGATCTAATCAGACATAAAAAGCTGTGTATTGAAATCAATTGAGGACTGAGGTCAGGTGAGCCCCAAATCAAGCCAAACAGTGAAGCATGGTGGTGGCGACATCATGCTGGGGTGATAACTATATTAGCAGGGCGGCGTCATAAAGAACGCTCTGAGCAGGAGCCTGAAAGGAGCTCTGTGTGAACAGGACTGACCTCACCATGGCTGAGCGGTGACACCAGACCCAGCCATTGTTTGCCCTACAACTAAACTCTAGTTTCTGCCAAATACATAAAGGTGTAATCAAGATGATCGTCATGGAAACTACCGACGCCATGAATAAGCGTAACTGGGTGGAGCGCGGCTCTCCTTCCTTTAGACTTTCCCCAAAGGAGAGGAAACAAAACCAGGGAAGAAATTTAAAACGTTCAACAGCTCCTACTGCTTCATGAGATCATCCAGGAGAAAAACGAGGGACCTGGTTACCATGCCGATCAGAACCTACGGAAGAGGAAAAGCTCACCTCTGGAATTCCTTCTAAAGAGTGAAGCGTTCCTCCAACTTAAGATATTTTATGTGTTCATATTTGTTAGAAAACTTTGCTGTTTTTGATGTTAAAACCATCCCTGTCAATAAAAAAAAGGGAGTCATTCATGTTCCTTTCTGAAGATTGCAGAAAGAATCACCTTTGTTTCACACTGCAAAAAATGGAAATCTAAATGAGTCATTTTTTCCTTAAATAAGTGCATTTTTTTCTTGAATTGAGGATTGCCAATGGAACAAGAACATTTACATGAACATTTACATTTAAAATAAGAACAAACAACTGCATTGTCTTATTTGTAGTGCATGTTATCTAATGATCTTATTTTAAAAGTAAAAAACCTCCTTCCATTGGCAAGTAATTTTATTTATCTACTCAAATTAGGGGCAAATACACCTAATTTAAAATATTTTTACTTATTACTAGATTTTTTTGCACTGCTTTTCACTGTTGAAAGCTGTATGCATCTGACCCTTGTTTTGTATTCACTCTGTGCATACAAGATGAAAATACAGTTAGTCTAAGTCTTGACACATTCATCTCCACTTAGCTTCAGTTCTGTCCCTCAGGTCTCATAATGCTAAAAGGAAATGGTCTGCAGATTCAATAAAGGTAAAGTAGCATAAAATGGAGACAGACAGATATTTGGCCATTTTAAGGCAGTTAAGTCCACAACTCTGCGTCCAGCATAGCTACAGTTTACAGCAAGTTTAGCAGCTCTAACATGGAAATATCAGTAAATGGAAACATGCCAAACACTGGCAACTGACAAAGAAAAAAGGGAGATCAGTTGCTAATGGAAAGAAACAAATGTTTTTCAGTCAAGCCTTGGAAAAACCATCTAGAAATAAGTAAACATTTCTTTAACTATGTATATTTATCCTTAATTTGAGTAGGTAAATGAAATAGTTTGCCAATGGAATGAGTATTTTTTTTAGAAATAAGACATTATAATTGTGTTTTCTTATTTTAAGTGTAGATTGTCTTGTTCCATTGGCAAAATGTCTCTTTTACCTCATCAATTGCTCTTTAAGTTAATGTTTGCATGTTTTAAAGTTTCTATTCTCTAGTTAATAGAGTAATTTAGATGATTATTTTAATTAGGGATGCACTGATCCAATATTTTTATTGGTCCAGATATAAAGAAAAAAAACTAGATCAGTATCAGTAACAACTGATCTATTCATTCTAATTCTATGCTATGCTCTGCCGTCATGCGGCAGCGCAACAACACAACACGGCCACATTGTTTATGACGCAGATCCTTTCATAATGGCAACAGATTTTTTTTAATGTTTTTTTTTAAATGAGTCATAACATTGATATTCGGGTTGTTTGCTATTTTTTATTTTTTTTTAAGAAAAGGGAAATCAAATCGTATGCACAGAAGAACGATCGCAGTTTTTTTTTTTTCACACAATAAAACCATCTTTAGGTAATAATTCAGTGCTGTTTTTGGTATCGGTAAGAAGTTATTAATCCCATTAATTGTTTTAGCTCCACCACAGTGTGTGTGTGTATATATATATATTTTATTTATTTTTTTACATTTTCAATGTTTTATTTTATGTTTTGTTGCATTTCTGTTTTTCAGATTGAGTTTTAAACATTTCATTCTTTTCAAATAGTTTTTTCCAGATCACATTCTTTGTTTGAATTTCTATTGGTCCGCTGGACGTTAGCGACAACATTTGTATTGGTCAATGTGGAGTTGAGAGCAAGCGTTGGTGTTTGGCTTACAGTTGAAAGAATGATCTGTAAAAAAAATAAAAATAAAAACTGCAAGGAATGCAACTTGTAAAGCTGAAAAACAGAAATTTCAAGTAAATATATATAAAATCTCAACATTTTTTAATTTAAATTTGAAATATAAATGTTAAAAAATTTTTAAATAAAAAAAAATTGGTAAAACATTTAAAAAATAAAATTCAATTTAAAAAAATTAAAATAAAAAAAAACCTAATCAGTGATTTTTTTTGTAAAAACATTTTTTGTTGTTGCAAATAACAGATCGCAGAAAACAGTTGGATGTGGCCAAGGCAAAAGTCTGAATATGTCTGAGCCTTAATTAACTTTAAAAGCTGCCAAGGATGATCTAATGTAGAGTTTAGGGAAAACACCAACAGCATTTAGTACAGAGCTCCACATTTGAAAAAAAAATAAATAAAAAACAAGTGGGTGTGAGCTGTTCCAAAACAACATAGAAATTTAAATTTGGATTACCGGTACATTTAAAAAATAAAAAAACTTGTCACAATCACTGCTCTGTCTGCAGTGATATACAGCAGAGCCGTCTGTTTATGTAATGAGAGACTAAAGTTAACAGCTCTCAGCTCCCTAAAGGGCTATCCCATTACCCAGCTGGTTAACCACTGCTCGTAACCATTTCCACTGCAGAAAAAATAGATTTCACTCAGTGGAAAGGAAGGATCTGGAAAAACACTGCTTGGATTTCAAAGAACTGCTGCTAATCTTCCCAAAGAAAAGTCTGTTCAGATCTTCCTCTTTTCAGGAGAAATCAAATCACAACGTTACCAAAGTATCAGGGCCGTTTCTGACACTTTGACACGACGACTAGGGTGTATGGCGTGAACTTTGCTCCATTATTATTGTAAGCAAAGAACACGCTCTGTAAATTAAAACACAAAAATGCAATATAGAAAAAAACGTTCTCATAAAAATAGCAAGGGTTATCAGAGTAACTTTGCTGTTGTCTTAATGTTTGTTTTATTTTATATTCATTTTTAATTGAACTTTTTTGTACAAATTTGATTTTGTTTTATTTTTGTTTTTCAGATTTTTTTATGTTTTACAGATCACTTTTTTCACCTGAAGTGCGATACAAATGCTTGATCTAAACCAATGAAAATGTTGTGCTATGTTCATGCAGACCAATAGAAATGCGTCTTCACTCCTCACTCCAGAGGAAAGCCCGCCCCTGGAAGGGAAATGTCTAATCTGAAAAACTGAAATTTAAACAAAAAGAAATTAGAAATTAGCAAAAAACAAAAAAAAATCTAATTAAAAAACATTGATTGAAAACCGAAAGGTTACTCTCAAAACCTTTTAAATTAAAAGTTTTTTTTTTTTATTTCATCTATGGACTGCATTTATTTCAAATTTGAATCTACAAAATCTGTTGTTTTTTTTCCTCCAAATTTCCATTCTTCACTTGCAGCAATAATGGAATGAAACTCACTCCATAATAGCAAACTAAAAATCCAGCCAGTCAACATAAGAGAAAAACGCTAGCAAATCACACTTGGAACACCCTTCAGTAGGAAGCTGTTGTAGAGTGAAGCCGCTGTCACACCTTCACGATTTAGACCAGCTTATGCCTGACGTGCTAAAAATCTGGCAAATCGCTGGCATACGTTGGATAAGTTATGAGGACGCTGAAACACGTCAACATACAGCGAGTACTTCGAGAAACTTTGAGCATGCTCAAAATTTCTTGACGTGTTCCAGCGTATGCCATACTTGGGGCATAAGTTACAGGTAAGTTATCTGATCGTTGACATACGCTAAAGGCCAATTTATACTTCTGACGCATAGCCTCTGCAACCGTCAAATCTGTCTCTGTGCGTGACCACGCCCCCCGCGCAGAGGTTCTGCAACTGTCGTTGCGCACCTCAAAAAAAATCTATGCCTCGGACGGTCGCAAACACGCTCAGACATCAAGCGGAAGTGCGCAGACAGAAAGCAGCTGTGATTGGTCCTTGGTATGTCTTTCCCGGCTGTTTGTGGTCGTCCTTCTCGATTCGGTGTGGGAGGGTGCCATTTTTAAAAAACTGGGGAACAACTACAATGGACGACTACGACGAAAGGTTAATCTGTCTTTTTTGCCAACTCCATTAACAAAACCTGTTCCTCTTCGATGTCTAGCAACCCTAGATCCCTCTCCGTCACCGTGATATCTTGCAGATGCGACATTGTTGTTTTGGAAGATAAACACTCCTGCCGCCGGCACCAAAGTTCCCGCAACCATCCGTCAAAGTTCTCGCGAGTTTTTTGAATAGGCTCCCTTTTGCGTTTTGGCAGGAAACTGCTGTGCGTCCTTAGAAATTTCTTTCTTGCTGTTTCTTTTTATTTATTCTTTTTTTTAGCGGGTGGTAAACAGCGGCTGGGTTAATACTGCGAACAAAAACATCTTTTTGGCATCTTTTTCAGCGCCTAAGGGGAGCAGCTTTAATCAACGCTTCGTAATGCCCATGAAATAATGCTTGAGCATCCTTTAATAGGCATTATGCTGTTGTGAGTTATGCATAAATTAGGCTGTCGTGGGAAAAAAGTCCTGGATTTCTTATAAAAATTGAAAAAAACTACACAGAAAGTTCAGAGTATGCCAGCTTTTTAGGAGATTCTGGGACATCAGGCATACGCTGACAGGGCCCTGAGGAAGATACACCCAATGAACCGACAACAACAGCCACAAGAAATCTAGCAAGAAACTAACTTAAAAAAGTCTGGAGATGTCTGAGTATGTACTCTACAGTTACTGAGTCAATATTTCTCAGTGGTTTTCCTTTCCAGGACAGCAGGGCCCTGCTATCTGATCGTTACGGCGTGTGTGACTAACACAGGCGCTAAATGCTCCCCTGGCAGAGGTGGGGCTAAACAGGCTGCATATCAGATGTTTAGAGACACACTGAGCTGAGCTTACAGAAACTGATGAACTGGGTGCATTGGTGCAGTATCCAGAGGAGGGAACAGACGCCACAGACCACCTTCGCCCATCCGCCCTGCTGAAACAAAAACAAATAAGAAGTTCAGTGGTCGCGTTCGAAACCCTCACATCCTGTCGATGCACTTTAGACTTCAAACGCTTCATGCTCTTTGCTTGTTAGAGATGCAAGTTAAGGCATGCTTTGCGCTCTTACCTTTCGGTGCGGGCCCGCTGGCTACAGAGACAGGAGGCGGGAAGATACAAACAGGAGAGATGAAATTAAAAACCGGTTCATTCGGCATTGCTGCCAGTGTGGCTGTGCTGTTGGGTCTGTCCTGTCCTAGCAGCCGGCAGTTAGCCGATGTAGCAGATTCACCACGATGCTATCGCACTGCAGCGTCCCACTGAACACCAAGTCAGCATGTATGGAGTGATTTTTGTCCCATTATTGCTGGAAGCAAATCTATCTGGAATTTTAAATTTGAAGAAAATGCAACTCAGAAAAACTTCCTGATCAAAAAAGGTTTTAAGTTTAAAGTAGCAGTTTTCTTGGATTTTAATTATTTTCTTCCTTAAATCTTTCTATTCAGATTTTTATGTAAAAAAAAAAAAAACATTTACAGATTTTAAAATGTTTTTTTTTTCCAAGATGGGTTTTACAAATTGCATTATTTTCTGAACTCTTTTCACAGATCACGTTATCTCATTACTGACATCCAGCAGACCAATAGAAATGCATCTTTGCTCCCCATTCCAGAGGGAAAATGCTATGCGAGAAAAACGCAATTTGAAAGAATGTATTTCAAAAAGAGAAAGTGGAAAAATGCTGATGAAGATTCTCAGTCATCCAGGTCATGGTCATTCCGTAAAAGTTCAAAAAAATCCACTGAACTTGGTTTCCAAGATTTGAAATTTCAAATTTTGGAAACCAAGTCCTTTTACGGAAAGTGGAAAAATGCTATTAGAAAATATAAAAACAGTTTTTAAAAAATGGTTGCAAAATATGAAAAATAAAATCTGAGAAAAAGTTTCTCTCAAAACATTTTTATCATTAAAAGTTTTCAAAGTTTCATTTCTGCATTGCATTTTTCCCCCCAAATGTTTATTCATGAAACCTGTTCTTTGCATGCAAAGATAAAGGATCAAAATTCACTCCATAGAACTGCATCTGACAGACAGGAAAATTGAACACGCTCCTGGCAGTCTTCCTTGCATGCGGCGCTCCAAGGATGTGACCCGGTTTCACAGACTGATCTGATCCAATGCGACAAGTTCAAAGGTTCAATAGTTAAACCTGGAGACATTCGGCTCAGTCTGAAAGGAAACATATGCAGCTCTATCTGAAATCAGCCATAGCTCCTCTGCATCATTAGACCTGTGCACACATTAGTTGGATCAATCTAAAAGCATAAACTCTAACTAATAAGCATCTTTTAGTTTGTATGCAGCGGTAACTTTACTAAAAATAAAAAAACATCATAGGGTAGAAGATGAAGTGGCTTTATATTGATCGGTAGAACAGGTGGCATTGAATCCAGAGGTAGACTGATGCGTTACACGGATGATTTTAGCCTATATTTGCCCTTTTCTTCCCGCCTTTTTATACGAATAAATCGACTGCTCCCTCCGTTTGCAATCTGATTTTTCTCTATACCAGGGAAAAGTTAGACCGATGTCAAAATACTATGACATAAAACTAGAATCTGTTAAAATTACATTTCCTTGTCAGGAAGAGGGTGGGACTTTCTTCCTAATAGTTGGGATGACCATTTGCTTTAAAAAACAAAACTTTCCTCTTTATTGCAATTGGTTCTGAAGGAGATATTCAAAAGGTTTTAGAAGTTTAAAAAAGCTCAATTTGGTATCTTAAGTTCAGAGACGGGCCGAATCAATTATTGAAATAATCATCAACTCATAATTGAATTAAATCTCTACTAGAGTAATAATATACAGACTCTACATGTCATTTGCTCAAAGAATAACCAGCTGACAGTGATTAAGATAACACTGCAAGAATATAAAGTTCATTTTAATAAAATGATTGCATCTATTTTACGGTTATTTTTAACATGTTTTGCCATTTAAAAGCAATCTAAAATGTATAAAACTAGTTTTAGAAACGTTAATCGACAAAAAAAATAAAATCTCTTTACAAAAACGATTAACTGATTACTAAAATAACGGACCACAGTTTTCTGCAGAAGCTGCGTGGAGCAGAGAGGAAACTGAGCCCTGCTGAACCAGGCGTCTTTTGAAGCAGAGAGCCGACTGCAGAGATGCTTCTCTTGACAAACTTCCTGTCCCATTATCTTTATCTTTTTCTTAAAAAAAAAACAAAAAAAAAACCTGGGCAATAAAAAACACAATGAGCAAAAATGTTTATAAATGCAGCTTCACTAAAAGTATCTCTTCTTTGAATAATCCTTCAAAAAATAAGAGATTAATTCATGTAGTGTCTGAAAAGCTGTACTAAATGAAATTTTGTGTTGTTTACACTGTATACAAAATGACAATAAAAGTTTTCTAATGCTACGTTCACATCGTAAGCAGCAGAGGCACCAAAAACGCGCATGCCGCTTTATTTTTGATGCTTGTACAAGTTTAGTTCTGACGCGCGGCTAAAGAATATTTGCTGCTCTATCAGCACACCTGAAAAGTGGGTCTGATACACGTAGGGCGGAGCTACTCTATCCTTTCTTTCCCTGGACAGGGTTCCTACAGCATAAGGCAAGTTAAATTCAAGATTTTTTAATGCCACTTGAAATAAAAATTTAAGACCAAATTCACAAGAAACACAAGAAAAACCCACTTGTGACAACTTAACCCAAAGGTTTATTTTAACATAAACCACTGCACTAATGTTTCAAATTTTGAAAAGCTTCCCATACAGGAAGAAAGCTAAAAACACACAAATGATAGATATATATTAACAATTATTTAACTGAATTCACAAACTTTGTTTTAGCAGGGAACAAAACTAATCAGTTTTAAAGCCCCAACATAACCAGTGCTAAGTCTTTTTTGCAGCTATTTTTCTTTGTATGGTTTTCTTAGTATGTTTGATTTGGTGATAAGTGGAGGCGTTGCAGAGACAAGGATGGAACTAAACTGAGAAATACCGGCTGTTTCTCGGTAACTCCATTTTGACGCTTTGTGTTTCGTGCTTCGCATGTGCGACTCCACTGCCTTAATTCCCATCGTTCTGAGCTTGAATGACTTCTTGCACAAAATCCACTGAGCCTCATGTATGTTCCCTGGTTTTAGCCATGGAGAAAACTCTTGGCTGGAGACAATTTTCTTTACATTTACACTTACTCATATTTTCCTAGGGCTGGGCGATAATTCAATAACGATATATATCGATCGATAGACGTGTGGCGCAATAGAAAAAAAGAGTCGATAAAAGTTCGATTGTAGCCTAGCATGTAGGTTTATGCTAGTCACTGCTTCCTCTCAACCAATCACAATCGCGGACCCAGGCATGCCGTCACCAAGCGCCGCCCTCTCAAACCACAACACAGAGCACATGAAGATGTCGCAGCAAGGAGAGGCGGAGGAAATTGTTTCAAAGAAGGGTTTTTGTAGTTCGCCAGTCTGGCAGTATTTCGGTCATGGCAAGTCGGACAAAAAACAAACCACAGTCATCTGGAAAATCTGTCGGGAACCAGTGAAAACCAGTCTGATAACGCAACCAACTTGTTTTTATCATCTCAGCCGCTCACAGCCGCAGGAGTACGAGCTGTGTAGGCCCTGACGCGGCTCTCCTCCGAGGAATCTTCGGGAAAATATATATATATTTCCATTTCTGGGCAGTTTCCCACGTAGTTCTAACAATTGAGAGAGAAATGCTGAGGGGCCAGAAACTTCAAAGTAATAACTCAGGTTAAAGCAGGAATGCGGGTGGCGGCTGGGGGGGGTGGGTCCATTTATTTATTTGTTATATTTATTTTGGTCACTTTTCTGGTCACTTTAGTTTATTCTTTGTCAGTATTTAATAACATAACCCAGATCTCTTAAGTTATTTTTCTTTAAAACAATTCTGTTATGGTTAAAAAAGTTGGTTAAATAAAGATTTAATTGGAAGTCTGTGTTTGTGTTCTTTATTATAATTAAATCATTTAGCAATATCATAAAATGTCCAGGCAGAGCTGCACATAAAATATGGTTTCAAATTTTTTCAATAATTATCGATATCGATCAATATGCATTTTTTTTATCGATAAGCTTTTTTTCTATATCGCCCAGCCCTGTATTTTCCAGACAAAAAGTTAATGGAGCATCTCCCAAATGTCCCGGCCGCAACAACGCTTTATTGGTTCCGCTATCGGGACGGAACCAATAATGGTGAGCTGTTTTTTTTTTTTTTATAAGAATTGTCAATTTTAACGTTTTATTTAGATTACAAAAATAGATTGTAATAAAAATAATCCTATTTATGATGTTTTAAAAAATAAGACCTACGAAAGACTGATTTAAGACATTTTAATACCAAGTAAGGCCTTAGTTTTATTTTGAAGAATTCAGTACCTTTTAAGGCTTTTTAAGGACCCGCGGGAACCCTGCTCTAACAATGGCAGCTAAATTTGCTGTGATCAGTGGGTAAAAAGTAGTTTTAATGTTTTTCAGTGAGAAAGTCCACCTTAAAACTTCCTCTATGCAGTCAGTTCATCTAGATTACCATCCTGCCTTAAATATTATTTCTCCGTTGGAACCGCTCAGACCGCCGTACAGCAGCGGTGCGCTGTCACTAGAAATCCTGCTTAACAGCAGCCTCACGCCCGGCCGCCTCTCCGTGTTTTTCTGCTACTGTTCGAGGCGCCTGGAAGTAGATGTTAGTGTTTTTCACATACGTTAATCAAAATGCAGACACCAGATTCATAAAATTGAACATATTTTTCCCAGCAGGTTTTGAAATTTTAAGTTAATTTAGGCGTTAAAGAGGAGTGATCATAGCGCTCTGCATCAGCAGCGCTGTCTCTCTCTCCCTGCCAGCTCCCAGATCAGCTCCTCTGATTGGCTGATGCGGCGCGTCGAGCAGCAAAAGTTTAATTTTTCCAACTCCAGCATCGGCTGCTTCTGAAGCGCGCCGCGCACCTCAGATGTTCAGAGACTCATGACGCGCTGCGGGACCTTTTGCTGCACCTTAATGAGTGCCAAGCATTGGCTTTGCATGGAAACTAGCTGCTTCTGCTGCTTGAAATCTGAACGTAGCATAAATCTGACATATTTACATTTAAATGTTCTTTAGAGCTGAAACAATCGGATTAATCGATTATTGAAATAATCATCACCTAATTTAGTAATTGATTAATCATTATTACCTTAGAGCAGTAATTATAACAAAATTAACTTAGATTTATTTTGTCATTTTGTATATGTGTGTATACAAAAAGAAATTTCGTTTAAAACAGCTCTAGACAATTTCATTTTTTTTAAGTGCAGCCTTGAAAACAGTAATACATTAAAAAAAAAGGTAATATTAACATATGACTGTATATTTACAGTTCTATCATTGCTTTTTTTAAAATAAAATAACTAGGGCTGCAACAACGAATCGATAAAATCGATAAAAATCGACTTTTAAAAGCGTTGGCAACGAATTTAATCATCGATTAGTTGTGTCGCGTGATTAATGCGTCATCCGCCGCCGCCATCATCCGGGGGAAGAAAAAAAATATGGCGGAGCGAGTCAGCGCCGCAGTTGCAGTGTTGCCAACTCAGCGACTTTTCAGATCCCTCTAGCGACTATTTTTCAAAAAAGCGACTAGCGACAAATCTGGCGACTTTTTACGGTGTCACTGGCGGCTTTTGCCTGCCGTGGGGCGCCTCCCCCATCCCAACCCCTTTCTCCCTCTCCCACAGGAATCCCTCTCAGCGCAGCAGTCGGAGCCGCAGGATTTTAGTGAGGAGTTTACCCTCAGCGTCCAGACTGCAAATGAAGCGCGTATGCGCCGGGATTGACGGCGCAAATTGATCACAATAATTAAAATAGCCTGCGCTTTGTAAAGTGAAAAAAGTCGTAACATGCAACTTTTGTCAAAACAAATGAGCATGGCACCGAAGCACCACTGTTATGACGCAGCACCTGAAAAGAAAACACGTTGGAGCCGTCGATGGCAGGGAAGAGAGCTGATCAGCAGGATGAGTAACCATGTTTGTTTCGTTTTAAAGTGGGGAAACGTAACGTTAGTTTCTCAGGTAGCTCATCTGATGCTTTCCTTACCGTGTTAGTAGGTTACAGACAGGGATAAGGTTGGCTACTTATTTTACTTTTAATTTCATTTGAATTAGCTTAAGCAGCGTTTATATTTTCTTTATAAATAAATTAACTTGCAAATTATGAGGGCAAGCCTTTAAAGTTTAAATCTTCTGGCAAAGATAAAGCAAAGAAGATCCTGCAATTTATGGAAGTAAAGCAGAATAAAATCCAGCAAGATCAGTAATATGTCAATTAATTATATGCCACATTCCCATGTAAATATCTGTCTTTGGAGGATGTGTTTTTTAGCACCCCTAGTTCTCTCATTTTTATTCCAAATACAATTTATAATTTGAATCACAGGGATATTTTTATCTCTATGGTTCAGTATTTTCTCAAGTAGCAACTTTAACTGCTATACTTTCCTGTCTTAAAAGGCCGAACTCTTCTAGTCTAAAAAAAACCTCATTTGTTGAAATGGGGGGCCAATTGTTTAAACCCCTTAGGGGCTTTAAAAAACAAAAATGTCTTTTTTGCGCTTTATGAAACAAAGTAGCCTATATTTTGTGGATGTACAGCTACATTTCTCAAGTAAGTTTGTGTAGTTTTAACACAAACATTTATTTTTCATATTGCACCAGTACAGTTAATGAGCAACCTGTACTTGTGTGCTTGTTTGTTCCGTCTAAAATGTTTATTTTGGAATAAAGAGGTTAATATAAAAAAATATTTTTTGTCCGATTCATCAATTAATCGAAAAAATAATCGGCCGATTCATCGATTTTTTAAATAATCGTTAGTTGCAGCCCTAAAAATAACCCATTTTACACAACATTCAGGAGTATAATGGCGGTGGGGAAGAAACTGTTCTGGAATCTGCTGGAATTGCATCAATTGTTAAAAAATATATACCGCATTTTCACGACCATAAGGCGCACCGGATTATAGGGCGCGGGTTTTTAAATGCCTCTACTGCGTATTTAAAAATAGAGCGGGAGCAAAACTGAGTATGATTGTGTTTTATTCATGTATTTATTACAAAGTATTAATCAAACCCATCAAAGTCATCATCCTCTGTTTCTGAATTAAACAGCTGCGCTAAATCAGACATGCCAATTTCCCCTTCTTCGCTGTCAGAGTCACTTTCCGTGCCGTGCGGCTCCTCGGAAATAATGCCAGCTTGTGCGAAAGCTCGAACAACAGCGCCAGCAGACACGTTAGCCCAAGCATCTACAATCCATCCGCAAACCATGGCGTAACTTGAAACTGTGGTCTCCGTCGGTCATCCATCGCTCCCACGCCGCTTGCAGCCTTACTTTGAGCGGCCGGTTCACACTGATGTCGAGCGGTTGAAGTTCCTTTGTCAGACCTCCATTAATAACAGCGTTCATCTGTTTCACCATGTTTTTCACATCGGCTGTGAGATGGGCAGGCATGGAGTCACGGATTAACAGCGATGGTGATGCGTGGAAAAAAAACACCTGGTCTCCTTACATTCACCTCCCTCAGCCACTCTTTCATCCTCTCCTCATCCATCCAGCCCTTTTCATTTGCCTTAATAACGACTCCAGCTGGAAAAGTCTCTTTAGGCAAAGTCTTTCTCTTAAAAATCACCACAGGCGACAGTTTCTGTCCATTTGCGTGGCAGCAGATCCACGCCCACACTTCCCCCTTTAACGTTCTCATGGCGGTCTCAACAACATCCGCAGTAACAACACACATAGGGTGCACCGCACTATAGGGCGCGCCGCACATTTTGAAAAAAAAAAAAAAAGACGTTTATATGCGCCTTATAGTCACGAAAATACGGTAAACATTTTGCATTTAAAATTTAAAAAAGATGTTGCCGTCTGTCAATATGCTCTATCCAGAACTCCTCAAGTGGAAAACTTTTAGTTTCACCGAATTTGCAAACCAATTGTTAGTTGCAGCCCTAATGTTTATGAATATACATTGTCCCCTTTAAACAAATAAAATGCCATTAACCGTACAGCGCTGGTTTGCACTGACGATAAAAAGATCTGGGATTTATTTACCTTCGGGCGAACTGGAAGTTGGAGGAGGTGCTGGCAGAGATATTCCTGGGGCTTTCTGAAGGACTGCTTCCACCTGAAAGACACACATAACATCATATCTAGTACAACATTAAACTTCTTCACCAAGAGGAAGCTCCAGCTCTGGATTCACAGCTTCCAAACAAAGCGTTGGGAGAATAAACACACAAACTGACACCTCCAAGCTGTCAAACATTGACACAGGGCCGAGCTGAGAGGATGAAGAAAGTACCTGTTGCGAGGTGAAGAGGTGAGAGAGGCCGTGACAGCGTGGGGGACGAGGGAGGCCCGACCGCCAAACTCCTCCTCTTGTTGTTACGGGAACTGTAGCCAAACACAGCAGGACAGGACAGGTTAGCACGTTTCCCCCGTTCAGACAGACAAGCAGCACGTGGGTGTAATAAAAAACGCAGTCAACCTATGAACCAGAGCGGCGATAACAGAAGCACCGACATCTTTTTATGACATCTGTAATAACATTTATAGACACGAAGAGCAGGAGAGCAAACAATCAAATCATCTCTTAATGAGGCTCCAATTAAAGCCTTTAAAAAAGTGCTTAATGGACCAAATATCTGAAAATAACTAATTGAAAACTAAAAAAAATGAATCAAAACAGGGTTTTTCTTTCAGCTTGAGGAACTCAGATTCAGAGACGGTTAAATCCTGACCCAGTAACCTTAAGATCAAAGGTTGCTTCAGTCCACTTCCTGCCTCGCCTGCAGGGATCCACACCATCATTAGATCAGGTCTCTGCTTTTTCACCAGTCCTCATCTGACTTACAGATTCTCCTCATTGCAGCTTGGATTCAATTCCTGGTAATAAACCAAGTGGAATCTGTGAGTCTTCCTGGAACAACATCTTACTTCCTGACCTAAATATGAGGCAATGAAACGATGCTAACAGAGCATGACATTTCAGAATCACTTCCAGAGCAGATTCTCTAACTGCTGTGGCCTTGACCCCCCCAAACAGAAAATATAGAGAAATGTGGAGCAACCGGAGAGCTGATAAGGCGTCTAAGTTTACCACGATTTGTGTCTTTTTTTCCCCCAGTCTTATCAGACAAAACAAACAGTCTGTCCTGACAAAGAAGCATGGGACAAGAATGTGCAGAAGAAGCACCGCTGTGTCACACAGAGAGCATGTGAGCTGATTAACAGCTAGCTAGCATTTATAGCTCTGTTTGTCTGTTGCATCCAAACAGGCGACTAACAAACATGGAGCATAAAAAATGCAGCTAAACTCCTGACTTAAAGTCGTAGGGAAACGGCTTTTCCAACCGTTGCAGTTCCGATTTCTCCCGACTTTACACGAGTGAATAAAGTGAATGTGATTGGTCGATTATCAAGGGGGCGGGATTGTTGTGGCGGAAAGTTTGCAAGAAAGTTCGATTGTGACCGTTTTTTTTCGGAAGCATCTAGCTAACCACTTAGCAACTTAGTGCTAGTAGGGTCCCAATTGGAAATTCCATTGGGACCAAGTAGCACTAAATTGGTGACTTAGAAACGACACTGTCAAGGAACGCTATGGACAGAGGAAACATGCAAGAGGAGGAGAGTTTAGTGTCGGAGGTCGTGGATGAGTCTCCTCCATCATCCATTTTTTATTTAGAGGAGGAAAGCTTGGACGAAGATGTTGTGGAAGAGGACGCCAGGGCGGCAGAAGCTTGGTTTGGTGTAGAAGGCTTCGAGCCGTACATGTTTGAGCCCTTGCCTCGCAACGCTGCCAGTTCTGTTAGCTCTACGCCTGCCGAAGACACAGACGTCCATCCCCGTGAACACTGGGACGGAACTCGATGGGAAAGGAAAGGATTCGGATTCCCTGCTCCTCTCTTCTCCTTCCTCCTGCTCTGCATCCTTGGCATGACCTGCTCTCTCTTTTTCCATCCCCTGCTAGTTTCTCTTATATTTAAATTGAGACTTGTGTGACAGCTGTTCCTGTTTGGCTGTGACTCCATCCTGGAGAGAAACATCAGCTGTGCTGCTGCCATCAACACCTTTGCTTATAGATGTTGGAGATCGGCCTGTTTTCCAGTGTAGTCCTGTTTCTCTGACTGTAACTGGCTGGATGTGCTCTCTTCATCCTCTGATATGGGAGCTGGTGCTGGAGCTCTCTGCTTCTGTCTCCTTGAACCCCAGTCGGCCTCAGCAGATGGCCGCTCACACTGAGCCTGGTTCTGCTGGAGGTTTCTTCCTGTTAAAAAGGCAGTTTTTCCTCAACGCTGTCGCTACAAACATACTTAGTGTGAGGGATTGCAATTGAATAAATGAGTAGATGCAATCAACTGGTTTTCCTTAGATATAAATAAATCTGACTGGATGATCTGGTGAACTGTAAAGTGCCTTGAGATGAAATGTGTTGTGAATTGGCACTATAGAAAAAAACTGAATTAGGTAAACCAATGTCAAAAGAATCGTATCGGTCTTTAAAAGCGATCCGATCAGTATGGAGAGCATTACCTAACGTCCTATTTTCCAGTAAAAAAACATGCAAATATGGATGAAAGAACAGTAAAAACAGACAGACGTGTTGCCTAACATGATGTCACCCGATGCATGCCTGTGTGCTTGTTTGTTTTGTTTTCTCAAAAGAAGATAATGATATATGACACAGGAGCAAAACAAATACAAAGCGATGACCTCAGCATGTCGGTTAGATGCTAGATCTACTAAAGCTTAGCTGTTTTTAGGGAAAAAGGGAGATTTTTCTCTGAAGTAGAGAGCCAAACATGTCATTTACAGCTTCTAAAGGGAATAAACCCAAATAAAATGCCAATCTGAACTTCAGCCAGATAATAAATGAGGAATATCTCCTCTAAATGCTCTGAAGCTTTTTGTTGATAAAGGCAGGCAGGTCCAGCAGGCATTACGGGCTGGACTGAGAAGGTTGATCGCATTTACCTGACAATTAAAAGCCTAACTCCTTCCCCCCCCCCTTAAACAGTATCGACATCTCTGTCTTGGTGTCGTTTTATGCGACAGCTGGCAGCAGACAATGCAGTCCGTCTCTGCTCCACACACAAGCATACAAGTCTGAACAGGCCACGTTTCTCCGTCGGAAACCAGATCTAGGGCGGATGGAACAGAAGCTGGAAGGACTCTTAGAAAAATGTCCGTTTGGAAACCAGAGAAAACACCCAGGAAACGTTGCTAATCAAATAAAACGTTCAACAATTGGCTCGTGGAGGGTTTTTCCCCTCCTTACAGACGGATCGATATTCCCCAATGCTCGTTACCTCTTCGACCTCCTCATCATCGCTCCAGCCATGAAGCTGGTCTTGTAGCTGGGCAGGACGGTCCAGTAGTAGCTCTGGTCGGACATGTCGCCGGTCAGCAGATCAAGCCAGAGGGAATCAGTGTCCTCTCATCGTGTTGAACAGGGTCTCCCTGTGGATGTGAGCTCGCGGGCTGTGGCTTAGGCCCCCAGGCAGAGTCCGACAGCGGAAAAAACTCCATTCAGCTCCGGGAGAAACTGGCCCCTGTTCGGCGGGAAGGCAGCTCCGGTTCGCTGAGCGACTTCAGCTTTCTTATTCAGTGCTGAAAACCAGCAACTGTGTGTGTCAGCGGAGAAATGCAGCAGCATTCAGCAGAAGCTCAGATAGGGACACAAACTTTCCTTCAGCGGGACGGAGGAATGAACCGCGCATGCGCAAGACAGAGCAGACGGGAAGGGGCGTGGCTAGTGGTGCATTCAGAATCCATTAGGAAAACACAAAACTGATTTAACCTTTATATTAAAACCACACATTAAAACAACCTTAACAGTGCTGTCGATTTTATTATTTCATTCTTGGACATCTATTACTACCATATACATCCAAGAAGCCCAAACGGTGTGGAAATAACGTGAACGGTTCGGCGTATCCTGTTAAAACCTTTGGGTTTTCAAATGTCCAAAATATTTTTAACGTTACATTTCATCTGCATGAAATGGCATATGTACGACGGAGTATTAGGGCCACACATGAAGAGAAAAAATATTTTTGCCATGACGAGATTAAACTCGACATGTCGACTTTAAACTCGACATGTCGAGTTTAAAGTCGACATGTCGACATTAAACTCAACATTTCGAGAATAAAGTTGAAATGTCATTTTGAGTTTAATCTCGCCCTGTCGACAATAAAGTTTAAATTAGTTCAAGAAAGCCAACCGCTGCACAGGATGCATGCACAGAATCCTATACAGTTGCAGCACGTCAAAGACTACCTTCACTCTTAAAATGCAGACTGCAGCTGTGGAGCGCGGTTGCTCTTTTCTCCAAACTTTGGAATGTCGAGATTAAAGTCGCCACGATATATCAACTTTATTCTCGAAATGGCGAGTTTAAAGTCCACACGTCGAGATTAAGCTCAACATGACATTTCAACTTTATTCTCAAAATGTTGAGTTTAATGTCGACATGTTGACTTTAAAGTCGACATGTCGAGTTTAATCTCGTCATGGCAAAAATATTTTTTCTCTTCATGTGTGGCCCTAATACTCCGTCGTACATATGACTAAGCATGGCAAATGTTTTTTTTTTTTTTTTACCAACAGGAAAAAATATATACAAACTCAGTGGCACAGTGGGTAGCACTGCTGAGAGAAGAAGGTTGCAGGTTCGATTCCCAGTCTTTCTGCATGGAGTTTGCATGTTCTCCCTGAGTATGCGTGGGTTCTCTCCGGGTACTCCGGCTTCCTCCCACAGTTCAGAAACATCACCGTTAAGGTAATTGGGTTCTCTAATTTCTCTTTAGGTGTGAGTGTGTGCGTGAATGTTTGTTCTGTTTGACTCTGTGTTGCCCTGCGATGGAGTGGCGACCTGTCCAGGGTCGCCCATAGACAGCTGGAGATAGGCACCAGCACCCCTCGAGACCCCGTTTGGGATAAAGCGTGTCAGAAAAATGGATATATATATATATATATATATATATATATATATATATATAATAAGAATAATTTTACACTTTTTTTCCCCATTTAGCAGAAGACATTTCATAAACGTGACTTGATCTATGTCTGAATCTCAACTCATTCATTGTAAAAGCAAATATAAAATCTAACCAATGTTTTTAGGGTCTTTTTTTGTGTGGATGGATGGATGGATGGAACTTTACCAAATACCTCTCATCTGTTTAGTTATCGTGTGTGTGTGTGTGTATATACACCTGTCTAGCTCACAGCGTGAGGACCATTTTTCCTAACCTTCCGTTGAAGTAATTTTGGGAAGGGGCGAAAATACTGGTTAGCTGATTGGCCTATGTTGGTGATAGACGGGCCAAATAAACCAATCAGATCAACGAAGCATATGACGTACTAACAGAGCGACAACGAAAACACAACCACAAGCCAGGCTACTCTTGCCGAAACCAGTTGGGAGAAGAGCAAAAACATCTTTTCCTCTGAGAAAAGCCTCCAGAGCAGTGTTTTGCTCTTCTTTCAGTGAAGAAATACTCTGTAATTCCGATAAAACTTGCTCGCTTCTCGTTGCGTCACACCTCAACCCGCCTCAAAGCCAACGCTGATTGGACGTTCATTTGGTGAACGGCTCCAAATTTTCTTCAACAGAGAGCCTCCAGACTGATCTGCGAGTGAAACCTTAAAAGCTCGCGAGATCAGGATGGTCTCACGAGGCTACATTTTTCCCAATTTCACCATCAAAGTGAGGACATTTTGCCGGTCCTCACATGCTATTTTGCTAATGCTTAGGTTTAGGGCTAAGGTGTCAATTGGTTAGGGTTAGGATGAGGTATGCATTGGTTAATTGTTAGGTTTAGTGTTAGTTTTAGGGTTGGGGCATAGAAAGGGTTGAAAATGACAAAAAAAAAATCAATTTAAGTCAATGGGAGTCAATACATGGTCCTCACTATGATGGCAGAAAAAGTATGGGTGTCTTTGTGGATGGGGGGGTATAATGTATCCTCTTCCATTCAAGTGTACAGATTTAAATGAGACAAAACTGGAATAATTAATCCCAAAAGCAAAGAGTTTGAGGTAAAATTACCTCAGAGTTAGTTCAACCCTTTAATTTACAACAAAACAGAAACTACACAAGTTTGTTTTGAAAAGATCAGATACTTTGGGTCCCTGGAACATATTTATGTCTCAGAAGCAGTGAAGGAAAATACTTTTAACAATTCTTTAAATCTGTTTACTATTGGAGAGGTGGTTTATTTTTATTTTATTTAAAACCTACATCTGCAATGAAGGTTAAGATTATGATCATGTAATATTTCTGTTTCCAATGCCTTCAAAGACAGAAATTATCTGATCAGATCAGAGTTATGGACTGAAATGTGTTGCAATCAAAAAACAAGATTTGAAAATAGAAGTTTGAAAATCCTGTTAAGAAAGAGGTTTTGAGAGTAACTTTGCTATTTTCAATTTTTTTGCTTTCAATCATATATTTTCAATCATATTTTCAAATGCTCTTTTGTTTCATTTTATTTGACAACCTTTACTTTTTAATTTCTCTGTTGCAGATTGAAATTTATGAATTGCACTCTTCAGATTACATTTTCCACATCACATTCCCTTAAAGTGTGGGGGCGGGCTTTCCTTCGGAGCGAGGAGAGAGGACGCATTTCTATTGGTCTGCTGGACGTTAGCAACAACACTTTTATTGGTCAAGAGAGAGTGCTTGTATTGGGCTTAGAAAGATGTGGAAAACAGAGCAATTTTTAAAACATAACCTGAAAAACTGACATTAAAAAATATATAATCTTTAAAAAAAAATAAATTAATTAATTAAATTAGAATAGAAAAAGGCAAATTTAAGAAAACAGCAAAGTTACTCTCAAAACCTTTTTAGATTGAGAACTTTTTCAAAGTTTAACTTCTGGATTGGAATTTTTTACAGTTTAAATCAGACGTGTTTTCAGCTTGCAACAATAACAGATCAAATTCACTCCATACAGAAGCAGCTGCTATACTGAGGTTCAACTGGCTGAACAACAAATTCCCATGCAGCTTGTTTACATGCGTCATCTTTCATAACAATAATATGCAAAGCTGATTTTTCACTGCCTGATGAATAGAACTGCATCTACCATGTTCACATATTCAAATGGTAAAACTTCCCGAAAAAGAACAGCCATTTACTGGATTCCCTGCATGAGTATTGGTTTTCTGCTGCCTCGTGTTTCTGTAGACCTACAGAAACCTGTCTGGGCAGTAGGACCGCCCCGTCTTACCGGCAAATTCAGACGTTGCTGCCTCATCAGAGGGTCAAGTAAACAAAGGCTGGTGCAGGCGATCAAAACAAAGCGAACAGGTGATAGTGATCTGACTGATCTCGTTTGTTTGGGGGGGGTTGAGAAAGGGCATCAGAGGTAGACAGATCGCACAGGAGGTGAGGGATATTACTTACACATTTCCCCTGCGTGGAAGGCTCAGCTCCTTCTGGAATAACGATTAAAACATGAGGAGACAAAAAAAAAAAAAAAAAGGTACAGTTAGCATTTTCTAAATGAAAAACTTCATGATTCAGTTTGTATAAAGCAATGGCTATCAACTGATATAAAGCAGTTTTTCCTTTTCTTGCAGTTAGGATCAGAATAAAAGCATATTCTGACATTGCTCCGTTTTTAAATGTCACACGACACAATCATCATCTTATGTTTTGGAGGTAGGCATAAGTGTCAAATGTATTAATGGTTATTACTCCAGTAGAAGTATAAATACTACTCCTTAAAAACACTTTTGTAGAAGGTAGAGCATCAAATTAAACTTTTTACTCAAGTAAAGTGTAAAAGTATCATTTTTAAAACTACTTATAGTATAAAAGTAATGCAGGAAAAATGTTAGGGATAGAAACTTTACTGCATTAGCCTATCAAAGGAAGATTTTTCTACAATTCTATACGATCATTTATACTTAATTGTCTTAGTTTCATAACTAATGGTAATTTAACTTTGCATCATCATAAAAAAAAAATATCTATTTTGGTATGTAGTGAACAACAAGTTGGGGCAGCACCAAGTCCAACCACAAAGAAATTACTGTATTTTGCAGACCAGGGGTCTTCAACGTTTTCCAGGCTAAGTACCCCGAAACTGATGGCGAGATGGAGCGGGAACCCCTAATTATATATATATAGTGTTCTATAAAACTGGTCCTATAGTCACTCTATTACAGATGGTTTTATGTAACTAAAGTAATTTCTCCCTGGGATTATTAAAGTATTTCTGATTCCTGGTTCATGGGACAGCTGTTGTGAATGAAACGGTGCCCAGCTTGAAAGAGCTCCTGTGTGTCTCTGAATGTGTGCTTTGATGACTGAAAGACATCTTCTGTCTCCATTTATCGGTTTACTACAGTGTGTTGAATTTATGTTAATGTGGATTTAAAGACATTTCAATTAGTGGAAAAAAATGCGGGGGGGAATATATAAAAAACAACAAAGTCTAAACAACCAAAACTTCAGCAACCCCCATGCAGTACCTCAGTGGACCCCCTAGGGGTCGCGGACCCCCTGTTGAAGACCTACGATCCAGACTATAGAGCGTGCCTCTCTATAAGCCATGCCCACTAAAT